CCCAGCAGAAGCCAGTCCCTTGGGGGCAGCTTCTGTCCCTCGGCTTTGTTAGCAAAGAGAGCATGCTTTACTATTGGTGGCTCAGAGATCCATGGCTGGGCGTGCTGTATTTGAGGCCCTGCAAGGAGTTGTCTGGCTCCCAGAATGTCTTCTTTTTGCAAGGGAGAAGCACAAGTGATTCTGGGCACTTCTCCATTTTGCCCTATCAGGAAGGAAACATTCTCAAAAGTCACCCCATGTTCTTGATCCTGAGAAATCACCAGCAGAGTTAATAGACATCACAAGCACAGCAGAATCCACAACACTCTGTGCTTCTTTCCTCCCGTGGCTAAACGCCTAGAATGAGCCATGTAATACAAGCAGCAGAGAAAATGATTTGTGATGGAAAACATAACATAGAGGGAACGACAGGGCAAGATGTGAATCCAAACAGCAAAGGGGGTGTGTGGAAGTGTTCGCAGCAGCAAGAACTTGCTGAAACTACCACTCCCATCAGGGGTGTGGGTTCTCTGCACACGATGATATGAACAGCACTAGAGGCTGGGGAAATCTGTGACTCTTATAAACGATCTGTTCTGATTTTGCACAAGAAAAATCAATGCAAGAAAACATCGTCTTATATATCTATCAAATATCATGCTGTGTACAATGAGATTTCTGGGTTACTCTAAAGACATCCCTTTTAGGTATCATTTCCCATACAATCTGCCAGCAGGAGTTTCACGTGATTGCACAATCATTTTACAGCACCACAGACGTTTTATTTCAACTCCAATGGGGTCTACAAAATCTTTGCATTCTTTTCCTGAAGTGGAATAATTTTTGTTTTGCTTTGTTTTAAAGAATGGAGGAAGAGCATCAGGATGACTGCCAAGAACTTCTGGGTTTGGTTCCAAAGCACTCAGAGCAGAATCTCTTGGGGACATCAAATGGAACATCCCATTCAGGGATTCAGTGGACTTGTCACGATGAGACTGGGAATAGAAAGTTCCTTCTCAGCTACACACTTACTGTTGGCCTCACTTCTGGAAGAAGCTCCTGGCTTCTGTGATGTGTGACTTAATCTTGATCCTCTCTTCCTTGTTCCAAAAGAAAATGTTCTGTGCTATTCCTTCTCCTGCCGTGACCGCATCCCCACCCCCACCCCTAGGCTGCAGCTGCTGCCCTGGCTAGTCATCTCCATATGCCCCTCCTCCTCCTCCCAGGACCTCACCATCACCCGACTGATAGTTTCTCACTCGCACTCCACTTGAACTCAAATTTCCTATTTTCATTTAAGACATTTACAATGTGAACTCTAGCCATCATTTCAAACTCAATGTTTTCAAAGCAAATCTTGCTTTCTTTACCTGGAAATGCCCTTCCCAGCTACTCCTGCAGCTTTCAAAGGCTCCCATCATCACTGTTCTGTAGATCTTGGGTTTTACTTCTGTTCTCTCCATCATGTCCTATGACTTTGGAGCCATCAATTCCTATTGGCTCCTTCCCCCAAAATGTGGCTTCTAGCTTTGCTCACCCCTTCACCTCCTCTACTACTGTCCACCCCACTCCAGCCCCAGACCTTCCACCCCAGAGACACTTACTCTTTCCAGTCTAGTCTCTTCTGCACATCACTTCTGTGCTAGGAAACCTTTAGCGGCTGCCACGTAACAATTTCTGCCGGGTCCTCATGACTTTCTAGTACCTGGCCCTAAATTCATTGTACGAGATACATTTTTGCCTTAGTCAAGGGGTTTCTATGTCCCCACAAACTCTGACTCTGGTCCCGGTAGTGTTCGCCCTCTCTGATACCAACCTAGTTTCTCCACTCTTCGTCACCCAAGCTCGACCATCTTTGTGTCTTGAGCTTAGTCTTGCCTTCCTCAGCCCCCTCTGCAGCTTCTACCTCAATGCCTTTAATGATCCTTACTCTTCTAATCTTTTTCAGTTTCTATCTTCTCCCCAACCAGAATGTAATCTCCCCCAGGGCAGGGGCACTTTCACTTCTAATTATCCCCTCCTCTTGATTTCCTGTTTGCTTTCCTTGATCCTACATTTGACCTCTTTATTTTCCCCATTTTTATTGTGTATGTTCTTGGACGTTATCTCCAACATCTCTGAAGGTTATTTCTTCTGTATCATTCATGATAGCCATCACTGTGTCAGTTAAACCCATAGTGGGTTGTGATAATCCACCCAAAAGTATGTCATTGGCTTTGAAATCTAGTAGTGCTAAAAGTCCCTACCCCAAAAGGACCCTGTTGGGAAAGAATTCACCAGGAAGCTTTAAGTGCCGCTGAACCAGACAAGGTTTTACTAAGCATCTCAGACATGAGAGAACCATGCAGGAAAGAATAATTTACCAGTTAGGAGGAGATATTTAAGGGGCAGGTCCAAGACAGAGAGGAGAGCAGTGTTCCAGCCTACCGTGGGTTGGCCGCTCCAGGCCAGGCTCAGACCAGAGGGGTTAAGTTACGGCTGCGCCTCATGCTCTGGCTCCCCCTCGCCCCCAAGAAAGCTGTAAAATAATCCTTAGATCTAACACTTTTTATCTAGCATGGTGCCCCATGGCAAGGGTGGTGGGGCAAATTGTTTGGACAGGGCTCGCCAGTCTGTGATTTAGCTCACCTGTTCAAACAGGACTTGGGGCAACACTTACTCCCTGGGTACACAGTTTCTTTTACTATGCTGTCTCACTGGGCATATGTGTATGAAGTTCAGGCAAAAAAAGTTTTTTTTTCAGCCTTCTGAGAATCCAAAACCCAAATGGAATCATGTCTTGTTCTCCCTCTGGAGCAGCTGTGCTTGTATGACAGGCCACCCTCCTGATTGCAACCTGGTAGAACCATAACCAAAAAGCGAGGAAAGGCAAAAACAAACAACAAAGAAATCTCCACAACTTTTCAAATGGGGGTTCAGGGAGAGTGGTTGGTTATCTACTAAACTTCTAGTTGAGACTTGATGATGGCGTATTCTAGCAAGCTCCATTGGCCAACACTAAGAGCTCACATGAGGTAGGGTGGAGACAGGGAGAGATACAGATAGTGAGATAACGACCCAAAGCATAAGACCTTTTTCTTGTTTTTTAAAAGAAAAAAGATGGGGGTTGAGGGGAGGAGTGCTTTCTTTGGCATAAGGACCAACTCAGGATCAAAGGCTAAGATTCTGATTTTAAAAGTTTGAGTCTGCTTTCTTCATGTCCAAGCCACTGGGTGGATTTAGACAGTGGGAGAGATTATTAAAGCTTTGCTTATGGGAAGTTTTTCTTTTGCGATACCCTTTCCTTGAAAACTTCACTCACTTTAGTTTTATTATAGGCACTGACTGATAATATGCCAACCCCACACATCTGTCTTGGTGGGTAAATAAATCACAGGAAAGAACTTTTCAGCTTAAAGGGTAGAAACTCAAGCCTGGCTTTGATTTCTGCCACCATCACCACATCACAGGAATCCCACAATTGCTACCTACCCCTGTAGAACAAGCAGTGCTGGCTAAATATGGAGACGGCCTCATTGCTGTGGTAGCCACAGCAAGTGAGAGGCAGGAAGCTTGTCACTTGTCTGCCTGTCTGTGAGAACTCGGTTCTTCCTTTCCAGACTGCAAAGAAGGCCCTCGCCTGCCTTCTTACTTACCTCCTTCCCTTTGATCCAAGTCCTACTACCAGGCTATTTTGCATGGGCTTGGCTGCATAAAAAAACCTGGGCCCAAACCTTAAAACCAAGTGTCCCCTAAGTCATTCTCTGGCACCTTTATTTACTGGACAACCAATAACCAAAGTGGCCTCGTGTTATGGGAGCAGTTGCAAGACAGTAGCTGTATCACAAAAAGACCCACAAGATTTGGGTGGCTGTCAGTTCGCATTTTCTAAAACATTAAAAAGGATTTATGTACAGAAACCTTCCACTGCCCAAACCAGGAGTCTCAGCCATAATCAGTTCTTAACAGAATTTATTAAGCTATGGCGAGAAAGGAAGCTACAAATAAGGACTGCAGGGGAAGGTTGAATTAGCTGGAATGAGAGTGAGCTGGCAGTGAGGCATCTGTCTTTACTTTGTTTCTGCCTTTAGGGAGTTTATTGAATGTGCTTTTGTAATATAATTTATAAGGAAATTGGTTTTACTTAGAAGGACGTTTTTGCTTTATGTCTGGTAGCACCTTGAGAGCTTAAAAAAAGGGAGAAGGTAATTCCATTAGGCTTTCAATTTTCGCTGGCAAAAGAAATGAACTAGATGTGATTGGAAAGATAAGGTGCTGGCCTTCACTTGACCTGACCTGGCTCCAGGGGTTGGAAAATAAGAAGCAAGGCCTTTGTTGCAGAGGTGTCATTCCATGGTTAATTAGAGGCCTAGAGTTCCTTTCTTCCTTCTATAAATCCCCACCTCGATTGCTGAGAAAATGTTCACGCAGGCAGATCACCCGATCATCTTCTTAACATCATCAGGGTCATGTGCTTGCCAAGTGACCCTCACTGCACTCGGGACCATGGTGCATGATAAAATCAAGACCCTTAGAAGAGGCCAGGGCTGACATTTGAAGAAGGCAACTGTCCCCTCAGCCACACCAGAGGCCTCATCAGAACTCAGCTTTCTTTCTGAATCTCATCTCTTACTTCCACTGTTTTGAGGAGAGGTCAGGAGAGGAACAGACTATTTAAAATTAAAGAAGTCATCTCTACTGCTCAAAGTTAAGATGCTTTCCTCCATCTTTGGAGGGCTTCTGACACAATCAAGTTCTGTGATCCTTAATTTATAACTTGGTGTCTCCTAGTGAGAAGCTGGATATAGTACAGTAATACCACATTCTTGTTTTTCTCTATTTTGGGTGACTAGTTGAAAACAAGTAAGGTTTGTTAAAGAGTAAAAACAGCTTAACAAACAAACTGTTTATTGTCAACATAACCTGTTGGCGATACACACAAAGAATGGTTATATCGTAGGAATCGACTCCAGTGTGTCTTTGGTTAAAATAAGAGGGGGGGAAAGATAAATTTTAAGGATCGACACAAGGGACGGGACGCATAAAGATTGAACATCAAATTTAATCTTGAACCTTTTCTCCAGTCTTCAAATTATTAACATGAAAAGGAATGATAAATTGCAATTTTATCATCACCATGTCACTGTGTAACAAGCCCTTGTTACAAAATCTCCACCTACTGTCTCCAAAAAACCAATAGAAAACCCAAACATCATATTATCTAAGTGATCTATTAACAGATGAAATTTTAACCAACTTCATACCAGAAAACTATTAACAGAAGTACTCCAATCACATAGCTTAAAATATGGAGAAAAGACAGGTAAAAAATTATCTTAACCTGTAGTAGTCTTTTTAGTTTAAAATTTTTATAAAATACACTAAATTTCCCAAAATAAAGAATATTATGACACATTGGTGTCAACTTACACAGATGAAAGCCGATGTCAGCTTTTTTCCTAACTAAAGTTCATCTCACCAAACTTTTATATATTACATGAATATCCAAGTATTTTTTAAAAATTCAACACACAGGAACATAATGTACAGTGTTTTATAAAAAAAAAAAAAAAGGCGAATTTTGGAATGATTTCATCTCCACCACATCAATATATCTTTAAAACTGTGAAATATCTTGCTAGTGCAAGATTTTTCAGTTCATGTTTTTGTTCCCAAGTTGCAATTCTTAAAAGTAAAAAAAAAAAAAAATTGTTTTTTCATGAGAAAACTGTGGCAACGATCTCATTTATGACCAGGCTACTTTCCCTCCTTTTGCTTTAGGACTACTCAGCCCACGACGGAAGGCGTGGCGCTGGAATGAAATGGGCACAAGAGGCCAACATCAAAGGGTAGCTAAAAAAAGAGCCGCTCAGCTGGATCCTGCCACAATTGTAAGGTGTGGGCAACACTGGCTCTCGCCAAGCCTCTAGAGAACGGTCCCAGGGCTGGTCTCTGGGCTCGTCCTTCACATCTGTCCGTTGGGAGAGTCAAGGAGCACTTCCGCCAGGACGTGAGCGTGGCTGAAGGATGCCTTAGCCAGGGAGGGAGCGAGCATACTTAGAAACCTTAGTCAGTAGTGGCTTTGGAGTAGAGAAAAGAATGTTGTTTATTTTACACCTCCAGTATTGGTCAATTCTGAGGGCAAACTGACCTCAAGAGGAAACTGCAATGAAATATACACACCATGCACGGTCTACATTACTGTGGGGATCCAGTAATACATGCAAGACGGTGGGAAAAGAATCACAATGGATGAATGTAAACTTTTCACAGTGTCTCTTACAGCCTTAACTTCAGCACAAGTGCATCACTTACCACCACAACCTCACAAACGTTTGAACTGTGTCCCAGGCATGCAGATCACTTGGGGTGAAATGGACAGTTACATCTCAGAGCCATTCGCAGACAGCGAGTACAGACTCAATTTACCCAATTTTGAATCAATGAATTGAGCTGTTTCTGTTATAAAACTAAATCTATTTCTGAGTGAGTACATTTTTGTTCAAGGGTTGTGCTTTATTCTTATCACTTCGTTGCTTTCATTCTAGGAAAATTAAAAACCCACCAAAGAATTTGAGAACTTGGCCTTAAGGCTGATTCCTGACAGAACCAGAAAGACACGGGATCATTTCACTTCTCTTCTCTTGGGTTTCTGTCTCCCTACCCCAGGGCCTCATCGATACTGATTCAGACATATGTTTTTGTTTCTCAAAAAAGGAAAACCAAGTTGGAGAACTGGCATCTCTGTCTTAAAGAAGTGAAAAGTAACAACAGTGGGGAAAGGGGAGCTCATTCTAGTCAAAAGAATCTGTTGCTCTCAATAGGAGATAATCCAGCTTCTCCTTAGCTATCATTTCATAAATTAATAATTTCTTAACTCATAAGCCAAAGAATTTATCTAGCACAAGAAAAATTCAAGTTTAAAAAGCAAATAAATTAGTTAAGCCTTGTAAACAATTGTCTATTTTCATTATATTTCTTTAAAAAAGAAAAGGTTTCTCTGTAGCATAGATCAGCACAAGGCACACCTCACACATCAGAATCCAGGCACAACCCAAACCCAAACCCAAGCCTTCTTGATGCTGTTCGCAGGGAGAGCTGTAACGGAGGCTCTGGGGTCACACCAATCCTTTGCTCATCTCCTGACCATCTGGAATTCCACAAATGTGCTCTTGCCATTACACTGCTTTGTGCTCTTTCGTTGGGTGATAGGATTTTAAGCCTTCTCGACGTTGTTCTCCTCAGAGGTTTTCCACAAAGCTTCCAGGGAAAAGGCCGGTTTTCCCATTCCGTTGCAACGTGCCTTTGAACCAGCCATCCTCTCGTTTTTTATGAACAAATACAATATCTCCTTCTTTGAGTTCAAGTTCTGCCTCACTCTGAGGAGGATAGGAAACCACCACCCTGTGCCTAGGAAAGAGAGAGATGTCTTAGTCAAGGCCATTCAAAGTGGGAATGCAAATGGTGGGCTGCACATTTGCATGCCTTAAACATCCTCAGAAGAGCAAGCAGCAAGCAGTTGGGTTTGACACGGTTTGTAATACAACTCAAAACACAACTATTTTCGGTTACCAGAGACTCAGTATGAACCTAGTTTAGAAGAGCCCACAACTGATGACCGAGACTGATTCACTTGAGTGACCTTTCCAGGCACAGTCATTCTTGTCCCCTCGTGCCTGTGACTCAGGGACACAGAAAGAAATCTTTATTCCACTTCCCAAGAGAGGAGCCATTTCTGTCCTTCCTTCTTCTTCAGGAAAGGAGTGAATTTATTTGATTGGCAAGACTCAGAGATGCAGCTGAGCAGTGGGTGCATCGCTCTCTGCCCACCTCCAGCCTGCGTGGGCTCTACTCTGCCTCTGCTTCTATGCTGTAAGCACCGTGGAGTGCTCCGAGCCAGGGGCCGGGGCCCAGGGGCTAGGCCTGACTTCTGAAATGGGCCTGGGGTGCTGTCTCTGTTTACTGTTTACAATGAGGCTGTATGTACCCACAGGCAGCTTGTTCTAGAGTCCAAATTCAATCCAACACGCTCAGGCATGAGGTTAACATTCTCACCTCTGTTATTCAGCTATCTGTGCCTGTTTCTCCACTAGTTCTCAAGTCAGACAACAGCAGGATGAGCTGTAACTGTCAACTAAACCCCCCAGGTGCTGTGCTGTATAACATCCTCCTACCTCCATGTCTACTCCCTGGTCTCCTGGGGCAAAATCCTAGTTTGTAGTCAATGATATTAAAGGGAAATGACTTCGTTCATGCTCTATAATGATGTATCCTTTTTTATTTTTCCAGCATCACTACTTTCCTTTGGTCTTCTCTTGTTTTTCCCAGCCAAAGGGGAAAATGGTAGAGCAGCCAACCAAGATGGCCCCAGGTGGTCTCTGCCTCCCAGTACTCAAACTCTTGTGTCAGCTGCTTCCACAGACATGAAAGGGGTGACCTGTGTGGCCAGTAACACTGTGAAAAATGATGGAGGGTGATTTCTGAGGCTAGACAGTAACAGGCATTTAGCTTCCACATGTTGTTTCCTTGGATCACGTGTGCTGAGGAAAATCAGCTGCCTCATGGTGAGGAAATGCTGTGTTATCACGATGGCAAGGCCCACATGGTGGGTGACTAAGGTCTCCTTCCAAAAGTCAAAACCAACCAGGCAACAGTGGTTACAGTGAGCCACCATGAAACATCCTCCAGCAGCTGAAGTTGACATCTGGACTATAATCTCCAGAAGTACCCAAGCCAGAACCACCCAGATAAGCCTCATTCCAACCCACAAACGTGGCGAGGCAATGGTTGATTATTGTTTTAAGTCACTGAATACACTCTGATGCCAGAAAATGAGTACTCAGTCATAAAAGTGACTTTGAGTTACTTTTTTTTGGTTCTCAAAGTTGGAAAATGAGTTCACAGCCTCTAGGGACCCACTCTTGACTACAAGTGAAGAATGTTACAACTTAGAAAATGATATAACAAAATTCCTAGAACCCATTAGAACCTAGACCATTCAGAAGATTGCTTGCTTCACCAGGCTTCATTCAATAACAACCAAAATCCACTGTCATTATGAAGAACAATAGCAAGAGGCCCAGACAATCACTCTACTGAAAACGGCATTTCTGCAAAGTTCAAGCGGCTGCCCAAACAATTCCTCAGCTACTTCAGGGTGCAGGAGCTAAATTATGCTCCAAGATGTGAAGCAAAAGCACAGCATGGAGTCTGGCTTATCACATCCAGGAAAGGTTCAGCTAATTCAATATTTACAAACCACAAGGCTCAGTGCTCATTCATGCCTGGAATGAGGGAGAATGGCATTGTGGGGGAAAGCACCCGTCTCGGGGTTGACACAGCCTTTAAGGTCATTTTCAGCAGTGTAACTCAGAGCCAGTTATCTTAGTTCTCTCAGGTTCTGCTTCCTTGGCCATAAAACGGGGCTGTAGTAAGTTAAGCTCACTACTGCTGTTATCACGAAATGCTTTGAGATTATAAATGATGCTTTTAGTACAGTGTCTATCATGCAGTTCACACCCCAAAAAGCAAAGTCCCAATAAGACCACATGGCTTAGGCAAGAGCGGGCAGAAGCCTAGTGCTTCAAGGAAGTGAAGCATATTGCTGGCCAGTCAGTAGCTGGTAACTGCTCCCCAGGATATGGACTTGGGCCATAACCTAAACAATTGCCTGATGCGAGATTTGACAAGCTTTAAAAGGATGTAAAGTGAGGGTTTTGAAACCCCTCCTCTGACACCTTCAAAGAGCAGAACAAATCACTTTTGCTTGGGCTAATCTGAAGGAAAGAATCAGCATAAGGAAATGTCTCAAGTCTGATGCTACACACTAAAAACCCTTGGAAAAGGCAATGTAAAAAGTTGCCACTTAGGGCAAGTTAAAATTTGAGTAAAGCATTATACTTCTGACTCAAATCCCATTCTGAGTAGATCTCTTGTGAAACGCACTCCCCACTGGTTCTTTGTGAGCTGCCTTAAAGGTGAGACGGAACAAAAATTGTTCTTGAAAAACTTGAAGCGAATTAGATTAATATTTGCATTTTATAAAATGCACTAAACCAATTTTGTGAAAAAAAAAAAAAAATTGAACTGGAACTGCTGCTGGGCTAAGAACATAATCTTCTTGCCAAGTTCCCAGTGGGAGCAAATTTTCATTGCTAAGTTATAAAACTCTGGGGGGTGGAATGAGAAACCACGAAACCACGTGCATAATGGAAACTGTGACACAGTCGTGATTGTATGAAGACTACCAGGTGCAGCAGTAACAGACCCTGCAAAGAAACCTCCCAGCCCAGACCCTGGCCTGGAGCCTTGTGACGTAGTTTGCATACAAATTTCTAATACAGACTCTCAAGGCCAACACTGGGCACAACCAGCCAACTATCTCAGGCATGGGAAGGTTTTGCCAAGTAAATGTTTACAGACCAACAAACAGATGTAAGGCACAGCTGCTGAGGCTCTTTCACATGTGTTGTCTTTATTTGGGGAAAGTTCTAAACCTCAAGAGTCAAAGATTACTCTCCCATGATCTCTGAGGGCCTGTAGCCTCCCTTCAATCCTGCACCCTGTCTTCTTCTCTGCATTGCCATTGTGCCACCCTGCCTGACAACCTCGTTGCCTTCCACTGGGTCAAATTATCTACCTTCCCTCCTGGCTCCATTCTCTTTTTGCCACCAATCCATCTGATGGAGAACTGACATACTAATTTTCTTAAGTGGCAACTCTATTTGCAGTTAAGCTCTGCTCACTCAAAAATCACTACTGGCTGGCCCTCCCTGGTGGCACAATGGGTTAGGACGCAGCACTGCAAGCTGGCCACAGCTGCTTCAGTGCAAGTTCAATCCTCGGCCCCAGAGGTGACCCACATGGCCTGACAGACCTCTCCTTCCCGCCGGCTGCTCCCCTCAGCAGTGTACTTCGTCAGCCTGCCTGCTCTGCTCCCCACTCTGTCTCTGGTGAAGCCTCTCGCCGTCCCTGCACCCCTGGCTTGTACCTATCCCAGTTCTGCATGCATAAGTAAATCTTAAAAAAAAAAAAAAATCACTACTGGCTTTCAAACAGGTTTTAAGATATTCAAAAAGCCCCGACTGATGTGACTTCAATCTCTCCTTTTAGCTGCCATTACCATTTCTTGAAATCTGCCCAACACTCCTCTAAACACAAACTCATCTTTCCGGTATGGCTTTTACTGCCCATCCTTGATGCACTACCTCATGTGGTTCCCTCTAATGGGTCACCCCTTGGAAGACCTCTGCCCATCCACCCGCCTCAGCCTCTCAATCTCACCCTGAGGAATCTTCTCTAAGCCCTCTTGACCAGATGCAAGATTACCCATCGCCATTTCTCACTGCACGGCACAGCGGGCATGAGCTATCACCACCTGCAGCCCTGCCTCATCCTTCCCACCTGACCTTGCTCTGTTCAGCAGGTAAAATGATGGTAAATTTGGGTATGTGCCTCACAGTGCTTAGCATGATACCTATGATAATACTCCAAGAGCAGGTGGAATGAGACAAAGAAAATGCCTAACTGTATAGCAAAACTATACAATTGTTTTATAAGTACAAAACTCCTTTAGAAATAATGAAATCCCAACAAATGCTAGAATGAGGATTAGCCTTGAACACATTATGCTATGTAAGAAACACACTAAAGGAAAAGTAAATATTTCCATATACAAGGTACCCAGAATAGTCTATTCAAAGAGGTAGAGAGTAGAATGGTGACTCTCACGGGGTTGGAGGGGAACAGAGGAGTTATTGTTTATTGGGTGCAGCATTTTATTTTTGGATGATGAAAAACTAGGAATGTAGTGATAGTTACCACCACTGTGATGTATGACCTGAGTAAATGTACTTAATGCCACTGAATTTTACATTTGGAATACTGGTAAATTGTATATGTTTTTTACAATTAAAAAAAAAAGCTAAATGAATACCTGAGTGAACAAAAATAATGCAAAGATTGGAAATGAAAAATAAAACATAGTCTGAGTGAGGACCTGCTTGGTCTCTGCTGTTCCCTTTGAGCCAAGCACCAGGTGGGGTATACAGTGTGGTCCGGAGTGGGCGTCTCCCTTTTGGTGGCCGTGGGACCCTAACTCAGTTATTGGTGATAGTTACCATGATGGAATTCAAGAAACAGAGCCTTGTTCTACCAAGAAGCTCCACTAACATGCTCACGCCAATCTTCCTGGTTTGCTGTGTGCTACTCTGGCAGCCATCTAAACGGGCACTTACAGTCTTTTATCCATATGCCTTTTCCATTTCCTTTATTTTTCTGCTCTCTCCTGTTATCTGTAATTTATATACTTTTACTTCCAATTTCCCCTGGTACAGCTCAAATTGGACCCCCCAAGGCTCCGGGAGGCACCCTGCCCGTCACGCTGGTCTGGGTGGGTAACCATGGGCTGCTTTGTGCCAGTTGCTAATGCAATATAATACCCAACTAAGCGATTCACTGGCAAGCCACACTAGCTTGCTTCGTAGCTCGCCTGAAGCCCAAGTAAATCATGTTCATCACTTCACCCAGTGGGGTCATTTTCACTGACTCAAATTAATTGTGCTGGTGAAGCCCCACTGCCTTTCTGTAAATTTGTCTCTATCCAATTTGTATGTTTCCCAGTGTTCTGGTTTAATCCTGGATCCAAGATCACAGGTTCGTTTCCAATTTAGGAAATGGGCTTATGTGGTGATCAATTTAATTCCTAAACTCAAATACTCAGCTAGAGATGTTTTGCTCCATCTCCTTGAAGCCCTTTACCTGTAAATCTTTTTCAGAGAAGAAAAACCTGCCATACTTTCTTTTATTTGCCATTCTTCTGAAGTATTTTATTTCTACTTTCTCTTTGTAATCCCTAATTATTTTCTCAAACTCTCTAAAACAGAGTCTAAAATATTTGTTCTATTATGTCTGCTGTCATCAATTATATATTTTCTGCCTCAAGGATAGTGCTATTTCTTGCTTGTTTTCTTCAGTCTCTCTAAGAAACACAAAAGAATCCTTTTATTCTCAGAAAAATTCTCAGCTGACACCCAGGACCTGTCAACACATGGTGAGGCTCATCCTTCCTTATTCCGAGAATGCTGGTCTTTAGGCTACATGGCCCAACTCTCCATGAGGGCCCTCACTGCTCTTTCACATTCCTTTACTGTAGATCTACGAGACAGGGTTCAGGGTATGAAAGAAAAGTTTATGCTTGTCCTCATTATAATCTGCAGATAAATCCTATCTCATACTGTACCAATAGTAGATACTGAGGCTTATTTTTATGAAATCCTATCAGTCAAACTGAAAAAGAACCTCAGGCTTCTCCACTCTGCCTAAGCAAGAGTTACTGATATTAGGTTGTGAATAAGGGAATCTAAGATCCTGAAATGCTTTTAGAATCATACTGAGGCCAAAGTTAATCTTTTCTTCATTCTTGGTAGTAAGTGCTTTTTATTACATTGAATTTTTTGAAAAATTAAAACAGGTAATCCCAACATAATACACTTGGTAGCTTTTAAGTAACCCAAAAATTCCATTCCCAGTGGATGATAGAATGACTTCCTATCCTATTTACTTCCCCACATTTTGCCTGTTGTTTTGACAGTCAGGCAGACCTAGGAAGTCAAGCTAACTAAACACTACTGGATGAAGGCAAAGGAGCTATGAAAAGTTGGGCTGGACAAGTATTATATTTAATATTCCATTCAGCATATGGATTGTAAAAATATAAATCCAGACAGAAATCTTCTCCAGACTCCTTTCCTACGTGTAAAAATTTAAATGGTTACATAAAACCTGCCTGGGGGTTCCACAGTGCCCGTGTCCATCTGTCCATTTTGATCTGTCCATTAAACTCTCCAAGTGCCCTGTCTCCCATGCACCCCGTTCCCAGAACTGCCTTCACCTGCTTCATTAGCGGGTTCTCCTTTTCACTGTACTGAGCAGCAGGAGCCTGCTGTTAGGATCTCTCTAAGAGATAGGGCTGGAATGCAGAAGCCACAGAGGCGAGGAGAGGACATCTGGCAACTGAAAAGGAATGCGTAACGGGGAAGGAGGCAGAGGTGCCAGGGGGAGTCTGGGCAAAGTGAACCATCACTCAGAAGTTAGACAAACACCACAAACGACAGGGGAGAGAGGAAAGGGACTCAGGGAGTGATGGAAAACCTGCAGCTCAATGCCTGGGAGGAGAGGACCAAAAGGAAGTAAACAACTCAATGGACTAGCTCCAGAGACAGAAGGCGCAGTCCCCAGAAAGCAGAGTAATTCTGCAAGAAAAAGGCTGGCTCTCAGAATACAGGATGAAGTGTATTCAGGACAAAACCCTAACGCTTTACTGAGAGCACAAAAGATGAGGAAAAAGATGGAATGGAAGAAAGGCTGTTTATTTAGGGCAATGTCTGGTTTCAAAACAGGTTTTATAAGGGTTAGACAGAACTATAGAAAATTAGTTCCCCTCACAATAAAAATATATAATATGTTGTATACTTTGTACTAAACGCACAGACATTATTTAAAGCTTATTCTTTTCTCACTTGCTTTTTGGTTAAAAAAAAAAAGTCAAAATTTCTGAATTAAGATCTCGAATGAGTACAAAGTCATTTTGAAGACTAACATTTTATAGTAAGATTTCAAATCAGCAACACAGAAAATGCTACCCTAAAGCACATCTCCACAGATTAGAAATCAGCTTTATTTATGAAATGCAGGTACGGCGACAATAAAGCTTATGGAAACAATAAAACAGATGACACTTTTAAAAACAAATGTTCGTATATTTATGCATTATGTGGACACAGTTCAGCATTTTTAGTGTACTCTGTGATGTTTTTCCTGGGCCATGAACAGTGCTTCATTTTTAATTCATATAGTCCTAGTAGAGATTCGTCTTGTTAAATATATTTCCTCCCCTAATGCACTCCTGTTCAAACAGAACTGCGCCCATCGGTAATCATTATTCGAGGTCAGAAGCACTGGAATCGTGCTCACCGTTCTGAGAGTAACTGAACCAAGTCACTGGGTCGGAGAGGCATTCTCTGAGACTGTGGTCTCTTCTGGCTCGAGAAAGAGAGGGGAACATTCTCTCAGCTGGTAGAATTTTAAGCAGGTGCTTTACCACTAGCAGGCTCTAGTGTAAATCTTTAATTAAGAAAAAACAAAAAAGGACAGGAAAGGCTTCACAGGAGAACAGTTGTTGGTGGTGGAAAAGAAGCATGAAGGAATAGATGTGAAGAGTTTCCAGTGACTGAGAAATTTCATCTGGTTATCATTCAGGAGTGGCTGTCTAGAGAAAAATCAACAAAAAATAAGGCTGGGGACCCAGGCCCTGTAAGACTCATGGAGGGAACTAGGAGGGAGGGGGGCAGGTGTGTCCAATGGTAAAAGAATGCCAGTGCTTGGTGAAGCAAAAATTAGGAGGAATGGTAAAGGCTGTTAAATTCCAGAATACTCCTGCATAAAGCTTGCTGTGCATTTCAAGCCGCACATCACAAGACTCACCTTTCACACACGACAGGCCTAGACTCATTCATGACTGGGCCCAGTGCGGAGCAGGGCTGCCGAGGCGGCGGGGCGACCGGCGCCGCAGAGTCCGGGGCGCTCGTCTTCCGATGTAGAAGAGCATCCTGGGTCAGAGGAGCTCCCGCCGCGGCCGGGCCCTCGCCATCCGGGGGGCAGGTGCCGGCCCTGCCGTGGGCGCCCCCCAGCGGCAGCTCAGGACCCACCGCGCCCTGGAGGGTCAACTCGCCTCCACCCAGCTCCACTTCCAGGGTCGGGGAGGCTGGAGGAGACCCCCGGGGCTTGCGTTTCGTGGAGGCACCGGACAGCAACTTCAACAAACCTTTTTTTTCTTTCTGGAACAACAAACCAAAAAGGTATATTAGTTGGTCACTGACAGCGCTGCAGTGATAATAATATGTAAGGTGCTACCGTTTCCACTGTTGGTACCATTTAAAATTATTTCTGTGGCTATTTGGTTCTTCATGAACTAGTTGCCAATTTCTGTGCAGTGTTAACCTGACCTTTTGCTTTCCTTTCTTCTCCCTTTCTGCCTGCATGTTTCGGACTAACTATGGTGTTTCTGTCTTCTGAGTTTGGATAAGCAGATAAAAAAGGATGTACAACAAAACCCCCATCAATTCATATCTCAAGCTTGGTGAAAGCAGAAGTACACATTTTAGGACAAAATAGAAATTTCATGTTATGGATTTCCCAAAGTTCTGCCTGCATTTCTAAGGCTATTTGTATAGAGAATTAAATATAAACCTAACCACGCTGGACTACACATCCACATACGGAACTCTTACTTGCAGGTGGTAATGTCTTGATCCATTAGGCATTAAACCACTTCTTACCCTGATCAAACTTAGGCTAATAACAAGAGAAGCCAAACAATTCTATAGTAAAACTAACTCCCTGTCAGAAAGCAACTCCATCAGATTTGAAATAAAGCTTTGTTATAAAAATAACTTAAAAAATTATATCTCTTTTTGCAAACAAATATGCACATAAGTCACCTCGCATATATGTGAGAAGTCACCTCTCATATATGCATCTCTTTTGATACCATTGCACTTCACTGTACTAGGAAATTGAGCTCTACAGCTAACTCTCCTTCATCGCCAAGTTCTAGCATCAGTGTTTTCAGTGATGACCAGAAACATAGAGAAATCATCATTTGCAATCTTTGACTAAGATGTTAACTACATCATAAAGTCTTCTAAAAGGAGACACTGCTTGACAGAAAACAGAATTATTTCTTTAGAAAAACCTTATAAGCAAATTTGAATTAATAAGTCCATGGATGAGGAAACAGAATTATGAGGGGTCCACAAGAAGACACAGAACTTTTTTGGGAATGTGAGTTAGTTCAGATTCAGTAAAAGTCCCTGGGGGAAAAGGGTCCAAACCCATAACACAGCTCCATTAGGAACAGAATGGCTGAAAAAAAAGAGGAGAGAACAACAATCATTTACCAGCTGACGAACAAGCATCCCAGGGAGACTACCCGCGGGCCTTATTCACCTAATGCTGCTCACAGGACCTGTCACCCAGGTACATCTGGGGGAGGGCAAGGATGGTGGGCAGTGTTAGGCCCAGCTGCAGATGAGCAGAGCCCATCAACACATGGTCCAGCCCTCTTCCACCCACCCCAATCTGAAGAAGATTCTTTCCCGTCTCTCTGCAAGGTCTGTCCTAAACTCACCCTACTGGCTTTGGCTTGGTTTTCACATTTTCCAAGAGGTTACTGTATGAATTCTAATAAATCATCCTGTGAACTTGGACAACATGAATGCAGTATCTGTACTTCACACAGCTGTGTCACAGCTTCAAGTCCCCCCAAAAACTCCAAGAGGATGATGTAGGGAAAATATTTAGCTACTGCTTGACTAGGGAAATAAAAGGGGACATTCAGGATCCCTCAAATCCAATGGCGATAGATTTCCTTCTACACAATGACCAATGAAGTGGCCAGAGGAAAGGCCTTGCCCAAGCTGCTGCCACATTTGCTGAAAGGAACCTGAGGTCTAGAGGGCCAGAGACTGAATTGGGAAAGAATGTTCAGCAGCTCACACTTGAAAGGGAGCAGCTGGCTGCTAGGCTAGTTCTTCCTTCCTGATGTAAGAAAGCACAAACCCTGGGACCCCCACAGATCTACTAAGAACATCAAGCCCACTGATAAATTGCAATCTCAGCAAGCCATGGCTGAAGATATTTCTTAAAAGCTCCATTCTGGGCACTCAGAAAAAGATCAGTTAACTGAAGAGCGCTGAGGGAACAGCCTCTAAAGTGATTAAGAAGAAAGATGACTTGGTTCCTCTAAAATGATTAAACACATTAAATACAGCTTGCTTTAATGACTTCCCAAGGCCGCGCTATCATCATCAGTCGATGCTGACTACCCCCGGAGCAGCAGGCACAAGATGAGGTGTTGTGTTGGGGGTGGGGGGCACTAACAGGAGATGCCGCTCTCCTCTAAGGAGCTATGCTTTTAATATCATCTTCTGACGTTTTCTACAGTCAGAACAATGTGCCACTTGAGAGTGACAATTTTGCAAACTCAGACACTTATCATCTAAGGGCACCTTTGTTTTTTCCAAATCCTGCAGCAGAGATGAAAACTGCAGATGAATTAGTAAAGACTACACTTCAGCAAAGCAGTTTTTAAATGTAATGTTAATAGGCAGGAAAAAGGAGCCCATTCTTCAAACAGACCTTAATAATTCTTCTCCTGTGTGTTTCCCAAGAAATTGTCCTAGATCAAATGTGTTTTTCTCTTCGGAAGATTTGATGATTTAAAAACACACCTCGTATAGATATAAAAAGAGAACTACTGAGGTTGTAAATAATCACCATATAACCATAAAGAGTAATTTTTACATGTAAAAGCAATTTGTGAATATCAACATAACGACGTTCTATTCATCATGTAACAGAGAACACCGGGTGGGAAGCACCAAAGCACAGCTCCTTCCTTCCCAAGCAAAACACACCTCTTCTGAGCCACTCACAATGAGCATATTCTTATCCAAGTCTTCCTCTTTATTTCTCTCCTTACATTCAGACGTACCAAGAAAGTAGCAAGAGAGAAACAGTTTTCTGTGTGGTATAGGTGATCCATAATCTACAGTTGGGCTCCATTAATCACAGTTGCTGCTCTCAAGATAAAAAGTCTCAAAAAATTCATTCATTATTCAATTCATTAATCATTCATGGTTGTCCAACAGTAATCATTCCTCAGCAGATACTTATTCCATATTCAATACAAGCCAAGAGATGTGCTAGGTTCTGGGAACAGGACAGGAGACAGCAGAGACGTAATCATGGCCATAACACAGGTGCACTAAGAGAGCTAAAGCAAGGTAAGAGCAGAGAGAACGGCCAGGAAGCACCGGTGAGATGGCAGGTGTGTGCTCATGTGCCCATGTGCGAGTGTGGGGCTTTTGAAAGAGAGTGCATGGAAGAAGGGAAAGGCCATATGAAAATGGAGCTTAACCACTGCTGAGATAAGAATCATCAAGTGATTTTGCAAGGCTTTCCATACTTACTCCTCACGCCCACTCGGGAGACAGACATTAGTCGTATTCTCACTGTCTAAACCTCTGAAGCTTGGTACAGTCACACTGCCGGGATTGGAAGTGGGATGTGAACCAAGGTCCCACTTCTCTTCTGTGAGTTCAGCTCAGGTAATGTCTCCAGAAGCACATGCATTCTGTGGAATGATGAGGCAGACACGCCAGCCTCCCCACCAAGGCGGTTCTGAGCCCGACTGTGCAGGTCTGCAAGACAAGGCTGCAGCCATTGGCAGGGGCAGAACAGTGACTGGCTGCTGAACAAGGAGGGTGAGCAGGCTTCTCCTCAAGAGAATGAAATGGTCACCCCAGACCATAGTGCTTCTGACAGTGAAATAAGAACTTAGAGGAAGGAAAAACCACGTGAGCACAGTCATCAGTCGGGACTTCAGGACAAATATTTATAATGGAAGAAAATAGGCATTTAAAACTAAATGGACCCTGTGCTTAGGAAAACTGAGAATAGCAAAGATCCTCAAATATCAGACTAACTGAAGAAATCTGTGGTTGGTTCCTTATAGGAAAGTGTCATTAGGAAGCTGGACCTGGGGGATTTCAGGCACTGAATAAGTTCGGTGGCCCCCACATAGAAATGTTATCTTTCAAGAATACATCCAGGCAACAAAGCATTCAAGCCAAGCCCCACTTCTGCTGCTTCCCATGGGAAGAACAGCACCAGAGAAGCCCTATGAGGCATCTCCAGAGACTCTGAATGTGGAGTAAAAGGGTTCATGCCTAAGAAAGAGAGAGAGACGAGAGTAAAAGCCAAAGAAGGAAGTTTATTGCGCCCTTGGGCAATACCCACACATGTGTATGGCAGGTATTGTAACCGTACTGTTGAAAAGCAAGCTTTTTATACAGTTATGGGGTGGGCCACTTTAATGGGGCACTTTGCCCTTACTTGGAGTTGTTTTTCCTTGATTTCAAGCAACTGACTCACCCCCCAACATCACTACACACACACCCTTTTTCTTGCTGTAGGTGATGCTTAGTCACTGGGCAGGTTCTGGGTCTAAGTTTCTACCCTGGAGTGGTTCTTAACTTCCGCCTGGGCCTCCCTGAGCCTAACAGGGAGTGGGAAATGTAACACTTGGGGTAGGGGGTAGAGAGGGAATTCCAGCAGTGGTTCTCCTTTTTCTGAAGTGAGGATTAGAACTGTTAACTAATTAAAAATAGGAAGCCAGGCCTTCCTTGGCAGCGCAGCAGGTTAAAGCACAGCACTGAGGGGCTAAAGCCACTTCAGCATGAGTTCAATCTCCTGCCCTGGAGGTGACCCACAAGGTGCTGCCGACCCCTCCTGACCTGCCCACTGCTCCCCTCAGCAGTGTACTTCCTCGATCTGCCTGCTTTGCTCCCTGCTCTGTCTCTGGTGAATCCTCTCACTGCCCCTGCATCTCTGGCCTGGCCTGTATCCAGTTCTATATGCATAAATAAATAAGTCTTTAAAAAAAAACCAAAACAAAAACAAAAAAACAACAGGAAGCCACTAGGTTGAGGTGGTGCCTTAGCAGCTTGCATGATTATGCCTGAAATGTCTCTTGGTTAAGAAATCAAAATCTAAAGACAACCGATCGTAGCAGACAACCAGGCTTTCCTGAGGAACATCCACTCAGTGATACGCAATCAAATAATGTCCTCACTTCGCTTCCAAGTCTCCTCTGTAAAAGTCTTGCTCCAGCTCCTAACTACTATTGGCCTAATGCTGCCCAATTCAAAGTAAATTTTGCACAAATTAATGTTTTTTAAATATGCCTCAGTTTGTCTTTTAACAGAATTTAGAGAGTGTAAATAGAGTAAATTACATAATTGGTACTGAAGATAAAGATGTTTTCTGGATGAAAGCTTAATATACCAAAGTAATATTTGTCAAATTTTGGTATACAGGGGGAAAAACGTACAATCTATATTATACTAGTGGTTTTCTTTGATATCTTGGGTCATATTTAGGTTTTCTGTTTGGATTTTCTCTAACTCCTAAATAAAAATGTAAGTTAAAAATCTTTAAGAATACAATGTACACATATACTAAGTATTTTAAAGCCTAGGGAACATGTTTGGGTGGGGACTATCTGGTCAAATAATAAAGCCTGAAAAGTATCCAAATAAAGTGGCAACTGATAATTACAGAAGATAGCAGAGATTTTTATAGAATTAAAATAATGGTAGAACCAACGTTGATTTCAAGTAAGAAATAACTTAAATGATGTTTCAAAATATATTACAGATTTTCAGATGCTTATTTATCAAACCATGGAATGCAGTTACAAGAAAAGCTAGCTAGAGATTTTTAAGTCAGGGCTAAAAATACATTTCTGAGACTGTCAGATGGGGCTGCCAACTAAAATATTGTTCAAAAGAAATATCCCGACTTGGTGAGAGCTGCAACAGTCCTGTGCATATGTGGATAACCCACTGCGGAGAGCTTGAGTACAGAGAAAAGAGGTAGATAGCCAACAAGCTATCATTTGCAGGCATCATGCATTGCCTGCAGTTGAAGTTAATGGATGATGCTGATTACAACATAACAAAAGAATATAAAAATGAGAGAACTGTCAAATACCCCTGGAATTCTGAGACATTTCAGAAGTCTCAAGTAAAACTAGAATCTCTGATACCCTTAGAACCTAACTCTTTCCTTGACTTGCTGACAATTTGATCTCACAAAAAGTTGAGAGCTATCTCCCACAATGAACCTAATTCAAATCAACTGGAATAAAGGTTGAATCAGGAAGCGGAGAGATTTGGCTGGTGAAAATAGAAAGAAATATCCAAGTAAGTGCCCAAAGAGAAGTTGGCTAAAGTCAAATTCAAACTCTAAAGTTTAAAAGAACTGATTTTCAAAGTTAAAAAAAAATATATGCATGACCTGAAACTCAAAAAGAAAGATACTTCAAGAGGAATGGGAGGATTCTTCAGAAATTCTAACCATACAATTGCAAATTACCCAGCAGATGAAAATATAAAGGCAACCAGAGGTACAGATGTGATCCCCCAGAGAGCGGCCTAATGGGCTCAAATTTTTAAAGGACAAACACAAAAAGATCAAGGGAAAGACCCATAAGAATGAACATATCATGGCCCACAGTATTTCAAGAAGGCTAAAGATCAGAATGAGCTCCAACTTGCAAAATGTTAAAGACCAAAAGGAAAAAAGAAAGAAAGGGATTGCTTTAAAGACATGTTTAAACTAGACGAATGGAAAAGAACAGACCTGCTGTTTGGGGTGGATAGTGGTCCTCAGATGGAATGAAGAAAGAGAAGGATAATCTTCAGACTGAAGAGGAACAACAAACCTTGTTAAGAGGGAAAAGGGTGAAGAGACTGGATTTATAGATCAAAATCTGGCTCTTGAACAGGCTGAATTCACTGCACCCTGCACAGATAATTAACAGCCTAAATGTAACCAATAATCATTGACAGATAATGGTGAATTTGGTATACGGGTCAACTCAATAGGCCAAAGAAAGGCATGGGTAGTCTCAGTTACCAAAAAGAAGACGACAATGAACATTGCAGACCATCTGGAAAATTCTACAACAGTGTATTGAAAGAAAGGTTTATATGAGTAAGGAAATGAAGCTGAGGAGAAGCTCCCCCCAGGAGCTTGTTAATAGTAGGAAACGACAAAAAAAATGGAGAGGCTGGGAGATTGGATGGGAGAATGTCAAAGACATTTAGATTTCAAAGGGCTGCTGATAAGGTTTCCCTTGTCATGATATTCTTACATGGTGAAAGAATGTGGGCAAAAAGATGCTCAAGCTGAATTACTGAATTTTTATCAACTGGGAAAAGTTCTTTAGTAGACTTGGAGCATTAAATGAGGTAACAGATTCAGGAGAGCAAATTTTGAGGACTCTAACATGGAATGGTAAAAACAACTTCCAAAAGAATATTCACCCTCTAACATCTTACTCAAGCCATCATGTAGAAAGGAGATCAAGTTTCCCTAAGCAACCCCTCAAAAGAAAGAAAAAGGTTCGAAGGCACAAGGCGAAACATATGGGTTCAATGAACCTCCATATAGTCAAGTGTCTGGTGATGGCCTGGGTCACTCCAGAGCGAGGACACTTCATGGCTGGTCATCAGGATGTCCAAACAGATGCCCCTGGCCAGTTCTGAAGGAAGGGGAGTCAACAGGAGAAACTGAAACTATTTCTGTGTGTGCTGTAACAAACAACCACATGCTTCATTGTGAACACCAGGTCCTAACACCAAGGCCTTGACAGGGCTGCATCCCTTCTGGTGGAACCCAGGGCACATCATTTCCTTGCATTTCCTGGCTTGTGGCCCACTGACCTGTAGATTGCTTCACTCTGATTCTGATTCTGATATCTGACCTCTGGCCGAGCTCCTCCACCTCCCACCCCCCACCTCTGATCATCCAGGATAAATTCTTCATCTCAAAACTTAAATCACACCTGCCAAATTCTTTTTGACTAGGTAAGGAAATATCCTCAGGCTTTGGCTATCCCTGGAGAGCCATTATTCTGTCTAGCAGAGGCACCTTTCAAGCTGCAGAGACTCAGTGAATTATTCTCTGTCAGGGCATGCGCTGCAGAATCCCAATTCTCCCCACTGACAGGGTCCCTTAGCAGCATTGTCACAAAACCTTAAAATCCAAATTGTAAAAATAATTCTTCAACGGACATTAACAGAGTTGAGCATCTCCATTTGAGTTCTAGTTTAATGTAGTTAATTATAAACACTGAAGAGATATTAATCTTTTCAAAAATGCTCATATTAACCCAGCAATTAAATATTAACTCTTTAGTAGGCTGTAAAATTTATTTCCTTATAAAATGCTATTTATAGGCTTCCCTAACCATTTCAGTAGAGGAACACGCAGTACCCTTGAGCCAGGTGGCTGAGAGTTCACGATTACTCTAGAGCTTCCCAGACTGGGCTGCAGCTTTAGGGGAAGAGCATGAAATACCGAAGAAAAAGTCATTATTTTAAGACAATTCTTCAGAATTCACTATCACTCCTCTTCCTGTTCACAGTTAACCACCATTAATTTTCCTGGCCTCCAACCACCTATCTCCAAATTCAACCCTAGGTTAATGTTTCAAATATGGTCTTCTGCTTATACACTGTTTTGAAGTTTAGCCCCAAATGACAGCATCTTAAAAGATCTATGGATTTAGAAAATAATTTTTTCCTTCTATTTCAAGTCAAGAGTAAAATTACACACGCTGATTATAGTCAATACACGATGGAAAAAATAAATCCACGAAGAACATTTTTAATCAACAGTTTCCACTCCCTGTCTATTAAATCTTTTTTATAGAACTGTTAACGAGATGCAAAACTGACTGCACAGGAAGAATTAAGGCCGGCAAAATGATGAGAGAATGACTAACTAAAGGGGAAAGGCACGTCTTCAAGGAGGCACGGTGACTCTTCTTCGCTGTGGTCTCCCTAAAATCCAACACAGAACTTGGCAACGAGTGGGTGTATACGTGCAGCGCCACAGGGATTGGGCACCTGGGGGTGACTCTTGGCAGTGAAGACTGTGTAACAATGAGCCCTTTCATTAGTCAGAAGTGATGGAACCCAGGTAAGCGGAGAAACCAGGTGTCGGCCTTACTTTACTATCCTTGTCTGGCTTGGCTGCTGAACTGTTCCCACAAGCTGACAAAGCACTGTCGGGAGAGGTGAGCACTCCAGGGATGATGGTCACGGCCCGGCCACTGGGCTCGGTCTCCAGTGAGGCAGTGGGGATGCTCGGGGAAGTGAGCGAAGCAGCCGCGGCACAGGCCAGAGGGGCGCCGGCTCGGCTGAGGCTGACAGCAGCAACGTGGGCGACGGGGCCGGCCATCGGGGGCGGCGGCTGTGAGGAGGCCACGGCGTGATGGGGCAGACCCACGGAGGTGGGGCCCAGAGCGGCAGAGTTCTGGACCTGGATGGGCATCACTGCGGCCGTGGGGCGTTCCTGGTTGTGTGCCGCCACTAGAAATGACAGGAGGGAATGGCAAAATTCAACTTTGCTAGTAAATGCTCCTCACCAAGACATGAGTCATTTCTCTGCATCAGACCATAATGAAAGGCTGTTATTGCATTTATTGCAATAAGTAATGGCTGGGTGATGGTTTAAAAGCACTTAATCTTAGCTGGATCTCTAGACCACTTTTTCCTTCTGGGTCAGACTTTGAGTCTGTTGTGTGTCTAGTAGCTCAGCTGTAACCCTGAGACCCTTCAGTCTTTCCACTGAATTAGTGAGGTTCTGCAGCATCAAACTAGGTTGGTCTTCAGTTCTCTGAAAAATTATTCTCCCTCTTTCTTTCCTTTGGTTTTTCTGCTAGAACTCGAGGTTTATCCCACCAGCATTACCCCAAGACTCTTGGTAAGTTTTCAATGCACTGGAAGAAGAAAGTGGTTTAAGGGCCCTCCCTGGTGGCGCAACAGGTTAAAAGGCAGCACTGTGAAGCTGCCTGTAGCCACTTCCGTGCAAGTTCGATCCTCAGCCCCTCAGGTTACCCACATGGCATGGCAGACCTCTCCTGACCCACCTACTGCTCCCCTTAGAAGTATGTTTCACTCAATCTGCCTGTTCTGCTCCCCACTCTCTCTCTGGTGAATCCTCTCACTACCCCTGCACCTTTCACCCGTACCCCAGTACTGTATGCATAAATAAATAAATCTTTAAAAAAGAAAAAAGAAGAGAGTGGTTTAAGAGTCTAAGAAGTTCAACAATGATGATGAGCACACAGGTCAGCTGCATAGGCGAGTGATGGCAGTGGTTAGCATCACTGAGGTCTGAGATCCTGTGATGTTGACTATGGAAGTCAAGGATGAAGCCAGAATGTCAAGTATTACTGCCACGCTTAAGATCAGTTTAATTTCTTTCAGGTGTTTGCGCTATAAATCAGGATTGAAAGACTGTGCAGGGCAGACATGGCCAAAGTAGGCAGTTTATGTAAAGTGCTACTGATTAGACTGTGCGACTGTGCTTGCCTCTTTTCCCCAAGGTTATTTGTTATTTTAATGTTACACCTTACATCTTTAATATTGCACCTTAACATTACAACAGCATCTGCATAAAAGACCTAATTAGGCAGGTAAGGCCTTTTCACAGTGCCTCCCAGTGGGGTTTCCTCCTTACCTGTCCTCACAGCATTGCGGGCCTGGTTGACTGTCATTTGCCCACTCATGTGCAGCAAGACCTTAGCCTGGGGACTGGTCTGGATGTGAGCTGCTGATACCACGGCCGTGGGGACCACATTGGAATTCCCAGCCATACCATTTCCCTGGAGCTTCTGAGTAGGCCCTGCTGCCGTGGAAGAAGTGACCATGGTCACCCCACGCCCCGTCTGGCCAGCAGTAGACATGGGGACTTTAGTTTGAGAAGCATTTGTCACTGCTCTGCCAAGACAGAAACAGAAAGCCCAATCCATCAGCAAAATGGAAGACAGGACAATTAGATGCAAGAAAAATGACTCAGAGTTTTAAGACAGAACATTTAAAGAAATGAATGGAATTATTTTTACAAACTCTAAGAACAGCAAATGCAAAGTCATGACCCTGAGGCACAGAAAAGTCTTGAAATGTTTTCTGAGTCATAGAAAAATCACACAGCAAACTCTGCTCAAGAATAAACAGTGATGGGGTTCAGTTTTCCATAACAAGTTCCAACATCTGCACTGAATTTAAGTTCCTGGATGGATTCCCCTGCTCCATCTACCAAAGATGCCAGGTTCGCTACCTGATAATATCCACATTTCTTTAGCTCTGCTCATTTTCTGCCCTACACCTTGGTGTCCCCAGTTCTCTATCACCCAAGTGCCTGTGTACCTGATGCACGACAAGCACATGCATATGTATCCACACTTGAATGTCCTCTTGCTTCTCTTGCCAAATTTTAATCTCACTTATGTTTCATGAACCCACAGGACCCTGTCATCTCAAGAAGCCTGGCCTGAGGCTCAGGTTTAAGACCTTATGATTCTGGTTCATGTGGATTATCTTCCTTCTATGACTTTCGATTACAAAAGGCAGTGTATTATTTTTTAAAACCCTCCTTATTAAATACTCCAGACTCAAGGACTTAACTGGCTGATTTTACTGAAAATAGGTTCAGGGTAATTTTGTGCAATGTGTTTTTTCTGATATTCTAAATTTATTTAAGCAACAATTCCATGTCATGACTTTCTGTGCAGAATATTTCACTAATTTGAATATCATTATTTCCCATGATGAAAAACAGAATTTACTGGAAGCAACCTTCCCTCCAGAGATCTTTAAAAAATTTATGTTTGAATCTTAATGAAAATGTTTTCTTTCATTAAGTTCCCTTTCTGTTTTTGTTGGGTTTATTTCCCTTCGTTGTTTGTTTTTCTTCCAGGAAGGGCTTATCTGCCAACTTCTGGAAGAACTGGATCCTGAAAGTAGATTTTAACATATACAGAAAAGAAGGTTTGTATTGATCAAAATCTGCAAGTCAAATTAAAGCTAGCATTCTGTCACCATCTGCAACAATAATGATTTTCATTTGATTAGGCTGCTGGCCAACCTATAAATCAAGACCGACAGCTGACAAACATGTCGGTTCATTAAGCCATTCATTTAAAATCATAAAATCAGGGGGCTTGAGGAATATTTCACTCAGTTAAACCTGGACTATTTATTAAGAGCACAGCAGTTGAAACTAGGCCTCCCTCAGCAATGATACCATCACAGTTCTTTTCTTTGAGTTCCCAGGGCTAATTTCCTCAATAACCAGGAAGTGGACAATCTTAAATAAAGAAAATGTTGTGTATCAAAAGCTCTTCCTATGACACAATACTTGAGTTTCTCAACTTGATGATATTTTTGGTCAGATACTCCTTTCGGTGAGAGGCTGTCCTGTGTATTGTAGGATGTTTAGCAGCATCCAAAACTTCTACCCACCAGATGCCAACAGCATCCCTCCCCACCACCCCAAAGTGACATAGTGTGTGCAAGCTTTGTTTAATTCCTCTGAGAGCAAAATTACCCTCAGTTGAGAAGGATGAAGGATCTATGTCATATCTGAGGCATTTTACTTCTGATCATATTACAGAAATTAATTGCCATAATTCAGAGGTAATCATTAAGCTAATAGAATGACTAGAGAACAGACCATCTGGGTTCACACACTTTTTCGCTGTGTGATTTCTGGCAAGTGATTTATCGTCTCTGAGCCTCCATTTCCTCATCTATTAAGTGGAAATAATAATAGTTACTGCATTAATGAATTGTTTAAGACTCAAGAGTTAACATGTGTGGCAAATTTAGAAATCTACCTGCCTGGCATATAGTAAGTATTCTATAAACATAGAAGTATCAGTAATATAGCTTTTGTTTATATTGAACACTTCACTTTTGGTTTTTTAGCAGAAAAATATTGAAAATGATAGAACTAAGACTTCTCACATATAATTTAAAACAAATCAACTCAAAACCCAGCACATTTTATTGGCAGAAACTTACAATTTCACATATATCCATGTGAAAGGCAAGCTAAGGATTTTAGGGTTAGAAGGGATTTCAGCAAATACAGACATGGACTTTTTAAAGGTTGGCCATGTAACCAGAAACTATAATGAGAAAGGAACCTGGGTAGGTTGAAACTTATGCAAAGAATAAAGCTTCTGTTAGGAACTTAGTAAACCACTTATCCAAAATCATACCTTGTGACTGGTGCCACATAATTGCCAGGAAAAACCCCGATCTTGCTGGTATGCATTGATGTCCCCTTGAACCAGCCATCTTGGCAACGCTCAAACACTAAAAACATCTCCCCCTTTCTCAGTTCTAGTTCATCTTCTTTCCGGGGAGTGTATGGATAGATAGCAACATATCTAAAATAGAAAGAATATTTGATTCCAGAGTGGCTAAGATGCTCCAAATGCTTTGCTGGTACAAATTCTTGAATATTTTGCACAAATATAAACTGAGTATAATTCTGTAATGTGGAAGTAGCACTCTAACTGAAGAGGTTTGCCATCTACATTGAAAAGGCAGAGACCTTCCAGATTAAGGACTGCCAACCGGTCCTCCTGGTGTGAAGGTGACTATCCCACCAAATGGTATTCATGGGGTGTGAAAGAATTAATGCAGCTTCCCAGAGTGCCTCACTTGCTGCAGGGGATTAGGAACCCACTGGGAAAATTGAGCTCTTCAAATGGCACTTGTTAGACTTGGGAAATAGCCCTAAATGAGGACATATGGTGTGAAATCCCCCTGGGAAGCACAAGAATCCGCCTTTGCGCTGAACCCAGCAGCTTGACTGCACCTGTTTCTGTACGCTCTGTCAGGAAAAATGTTGAATTTCATAAAGTCAAACAGAACGAGAGCTCAGATCACAGAGAGCGCAAAGTCGCTTTACAATGCTAGGTGATTGTGCCATTAACATAGGGAAACCAGGCTCACTAACCAGCAGTTTTTATCAATAACTGTATTGACACAATGCAGCACCCATAAAGCTCCAGCTGTCTTTTACCAACAGCAAAGTCTGAACAAGACAATTTGACTGGTGGATACTTATAGGTGGGGAGTTTACAGCTTTCACATACATAGTCCAGCTAGCTGCAATTTGTATGGAATGCCCACCCGACCCCTTAGTCCAAACGCAAGGAGTAAAAACGAAGACCAAACACTCAAACAGGAGTCATACAAAAAGGCAGCTCCATGCATATATAATGTTATGCAACAGCAAATAGCTATGTCTCCCCGACCTAGCCAAGGCCTTCACTGAGCAGGACAGTGTACCGGGGGGCTCATGTATGAGACCCATTTCATTTCAGCAGCCTCCTGATTACATGTGTGGTTGGGTAGGTGTTTGTGGAACACAAACCATTCTGGTGAGCCATAAGCCTGTCACCAGCTCCTATCAGAAAGGGGTTTCTCTACCTCTGCTGTTGGCCACAGCTTGAAATGAATGTATAAGCACTAATAAATGTCATTCCTTCCTCTACTTACACACTGGGGCGAGTCTGAGGCCGTAAATGTGCAATCTGGTCAGAGGGTCCTGCCGTGGGCCTGGGTCCCATTCCAGCAGCAGCAGCAGCAGCAGCAGCAACAGCAGCGGCAGCAGCAGCAGCACCTGGTGGTGTGGCGGCCAGGAGAGGGGGCGGAGGAAGAGGAGGGTTCATAGCCTGGCATAGAAAGATGGAAAAAGAAGGAACAAGAAATAGATTTACATCTTTTATGGGAAACAAGAGGAGAAAGAAATCAGAAATCTGCGGGAAAAGTCTTCAACGGACTCTTCACAGAGCACAACCAGCAGCCTACACTTTATGTAAGCCCCCTTTAAAAATAACAACTCGGTCTCCTTGGTGGTGCAGCGGGCTAAAGCACAGAGCTAAGGAGCTTTAAAAAAAGCCACTTCCTCACGAGTTCGATCCCTGACCGGGAGGTGACCCATATGGTGCTGGAGACCTCTCCTGACCTACCCACTGCTCCCCTCAGCAGTGAGCTTCATCAGTCTGCCTGTTCTGTTCCCCACTCTGTCTCTGATGAATCCTCTCACTGCCCTTGCATCTCTGGCCTGTACCCCAGTTCTGTATGCATGAATAACTAAAGCTTTAAAAAAAAAAAACAAACTCATCTCTTTGTTCACCTTTATTGTTTTAAAGCCACACCAACCTTTTCAGGAAACAGGTATGTAATCACACTTGGGAAGATGAAAGAAAGAACAAAACAACCGCATTCAATTTAAAGATTAATAAATCTTTAAGTACTGACTTGGATAAGAACCCCAATGTCTTTAAATGCCTTTTGAGGGTATAAGCTAAAATGCCACACTGCTTGCTAGGAATTAATTCGTGATCGTTTCTGTAACCTGAAACTTAAACACAACACAAAACAATTCAGCTGCACCATATCTCAAACTATTCCTTCTAAAGAAAATTTCCTTTGATGCCTGATCTCCAAAAAGCCCAAACAATAGCAAACCACAATCACGGAGCTATTGTTGCCACTTCTGCTTTTCTTGACTCTGCCAGCCTTTGAAATTTAGCACTATCGAGGTTGGTAATCTTTAACAAGTACACTAGCGAAAAGCTGCTGGTTCCTCTACGGGCACAGACTAATGGTGTTCTGCCAACAGGAGTCCATGCCTTTTGAAAATCAATGGAGCAATTGTTACCTTCTGATCTATAAACCCCAGATAATTCTATAGGGTCTGTATACTGAAACTCCTAGGAAAACACACATACAAAGACCTGTCTGAACCCCCACCTCGCCTTCCCCAAATCTTTGAACCACTAGATGTAAGAACCAAATCAAAAGAGAAATAAGGAGATTTAAGAATGCACCTCGCATAAATGGCTCCTCTCACCAGCATATGAAGAAGAAAATCCAAAGATACTGAAATATATTTCAGATGTCATTTTTTTATTATAAAAAACGGAATCGCATTAACATTTACCTCACCTACTTATTAATGTTTATAAACCAGTAGGAAAAAAAATTCAAACTTCTAGACATATGTTGTACTGTTTCCCACATGAATTTCTTGCTGAGGTGACTTTCAAGAATTATTCCCACACTGCAGCTAAAGCTGTGGCAGAACATTTGGTACAGAAATAAATGAGGCATGAAGCTGCTTACAGAGTGCTAACTGGACAAGGCAGAGGTCAGTTCAAACAGAACTTCACGAATGTTCTCACATTCCCCACAGAAAACGTGGGACATTAGGGTTGGGTACAGCCCTGGCGTTTGCATGGAATGGATGAGGCCTTCAAAACCCTTAACCAGGACAAGGTTCGTTCATTTAGTTAGGTCTCCTCCCAGTGACAAAGTAGACAGAAGTAATGATAATCCTAGGCAAATGTGGCTTGAACAGATCATGGGTAATAATACATCATCCCTTCACAGGCAAGAGCATAAAACGAGACTGCATAGAACAATATACGGAGACTCTAAAACTACCACTTACTAATTCCCATTTAAATCTCCCTAAGCTGGGGCCCTCCCTGGAGGCACAACTGGTTAAAGCACAGCGCTATGAAGTTAGCTGCAGCTGCTTCTTCATGAGTTCGATCCCTGGCCAGGGAGGTACCCACATGGCATGGTAGACCTCTCCTGACCTGCTCGCTGCTCCCTTCAGCAGTGTACTTCGTGAAAAAGCTGGAAGCTGGGAAGTAGCTTTAGGAGGAAGAAAAAGGAAAAAAAAAAAAAAAACAACTTTCTAAGCCCAGTTTCAAAACAGCAAGGCTGTGGGAAGGCAGAGGACATGACACGAGATCAACAGGGAGCCAACAATAACCACTCCTCCTCCAAGCGATTTAAAATAGAACCAGAGGCCCAGAATCACAAATGTCCATTTCCTCTCAGTAGAATTCTATTTTCAAGAAGAAAGAAAATTAAAATTGTTACATCTTAACTTCATTAAAACAGAGGCTGTACTAAACTGACCCAAAAAGGGGGGGGGGGGAATCAACAATGGACCAGATAAAGACATTAAAGACATTTCACATTTTGTTAACAAAATGAAAAAAAAAATTACCTCTTATAATTAAAAATCTAGTGAACAAACATTTTGTATATTTTTACAGATTAAGTCTGTAGACATTTAAGACAGGGCATAAAGGGGGATAATTCTGAAAGATCCAAAGGTTGTATTTGAGAGAAAATACAGTTATGGCTTTCTTTTAATGATTCAAACACTACTCTTAATTGGGCAATTTTTTCCTCAATCCTGTGCTGCATATCTTTGTATAAAGATAAGCCTATGTATATTCTTAGATGCATAAGCCCACAAAGGCCAAGTGAGAAAGTCTGATTAAAATCAGATTCCTAGATGTTGCTGGGCCCTGTGGGGTCAGTAAAATGATAGGGCTCTGGTGAGTTCCAGGCTGTGACAAAATAGGAAGTTCTGTGGGTTGCTTTATAAACAACCTAAACTGAAATAATCTGGTGATGTGGAAGTTCAAAAGGTAATCCACTGTGTGTTGTGCTTCAGGCAGTCTGCTATCCTGCAAGACCTGAAATTTCTACAAAGCAAACCACAGCCTTTCATTCACCCGGAGCTGACCTGGAGACCTGCCTATTATTTCCAAGCCCAGGCCAGTTCAGGGACTGGAGGCCAAGATGCCTCTCTACCAGCAACAAAACTCATGTGTAGGCTTCCTAGAAGTATAGGTCACATTTTGTTGACAATATTTTGACAAATATTGTCAATCTGTCCATCAGTATTGACAAATACAATTTTGTGAGCTTGGTATTATTCAGATCAAAATACTGTATTTAAATGCCATTTGTAATAGGTCCTGCATACTAAATTATTAGGGGCTCATCACTAACTGTTTTTTTTTTTTTTTTCCTGATATTCATTAAAACTGAGCTTTGGCCCTCCCTGGTGGTGTAGTGGGTTAAAAGCACATCACTAAGAAGCGAAAGCCACTTCAGCATGAGTTCGATCCCTGCCCCGGAGGTGACCCACATGGCGTGGCAGACCTCTCCTGACCCACCCATGCTCCCCTCAGCAGTGTGCTTCATTGATCTGCCTGTTCTGCTCCCCTCTCGTCTCTGTTGAGGCCTCTCACTGCCCCTGCACCTCTGGCCTACACCCCAGTTCTGTAGCATAAATAAATAAATCTTTAAAAAAAAAAAAAAAAAAAAAACTGAGCTTCTATAGACTCAGAACTTTTGTGGCAATGATATCAGGAAAGAATTACCACTCTGAATAACGTTTTACCATTTCTGAAGTGAAAGAAGTGCCAATTCTGAACAATACCTGGCTTTAAAACAACCTAGGAGTTGCCTACTCATGTGAAATGAGCTCATCTTTCATATGCAGGTTCTGTTCCCCTGACCCTGTACTCCTGAAAGAAGAGGCAGCTGTGTACTGTAGAAGCATGGCACTGCAGGCAGAAAGATGGAGAGTCCAGGCCGGCTTAGCCTTTTTCGGCAGCCTTGATTTCCCTCCTTTGATAGTGAGCACCAGACAGCTATGATCTCTGGTGGGCTGGGTTCCACCTATTTCTACACTGTGAGTGAAGAGCTCAAGCACGTGGGTGGGGAGCTCTTCTCTGATGCTCTCTCCTCCTTCTTTGCCTTTCATGCAATCAGTCTGGACGTGGTGAGTCTGCATCTGGTCAAGGATCAGGGACAAGATCCATTAAGTCTTAAGTCTGGGCTGAGGGCTGCAGGCCAGTCTGACAGCTGCTCAGGGCCTATGTTCAACCAACAAGCAAGGCTTCATTTTCTTTCCAAGTACTCTTCCGTGTGCCTGTCCCTCCCACAATTCCCAAAGTAAAAAAAGAAACTGGCAGAATGGACTCTGGGCCTTTCTGGGTGCCTGAGGCAAATACCATTCAATATTCCCCAAACACACCATTTCTTTCTAAACATCTGATTTACTATCAACCCACTTTCAACCTTACACCTCAACTTCTCTGTAGTCACTCCATCTGTGCCATGATTTCAGATGCTCACGCACTGTGTAGTCCTGCTCACCTCAAGTCAATTGTTAACTGTTTCAGCAGCATTACCATTTGCATACAGGAGTATTTATGCAATTATTTGAGTATTTTGCCTCATTTTTAATGAAAATGAGCAGAAAGCAGAAAAATGGAAATGCTGATCCTAGTGATTAAAAGATAAAGATGGAAAGTAGTGAGTCTTTTGTTTCAACAGGATGCACATGGGAATTAAGCTAGCCAACTGTGGATACAGCTTTGAAGAAAAAAAACCTGACAAATACATAAAAAATGCTAGAAACAGAGGATCAGAAGATTACATGTAAAGGAGAGGATGTAATTATGGATTTGCTAATTTTAAAAGATCTCTCTGGGAATGGAAACTCCCTTATAAATTGTAGAATCACTGCTCCACGTTTCATTTATAGAAGAGATACCCATATAGTTAACAGACTTTGTATAAATGATATAAGGTCCCTATGCTGCAATATACCATTCTGTGAAATGGGGTTATAGACACAGTTAGGGAGGCCGGTTTTTCCACTCAGGGAGCATGGCAGAAGCGCAATAAATGGAAGTTATTGTTTTTCCTCTTGAGACAGTGAAATCAGAGACCATCTAATCAACTATGTGTTGCAGGCACCTAGCTTTGCAGCCAGAAGATATCCAACTATTAGCAGTGTTTCTTGCTTCACCCTCCCTAGTACAATACAAGAAGGACGAAGAGGTCTCAGTTCCCAAGATGTAAGTCTTCTCTGTTTGAAATTTTGGCTCAGTCCGATTTTCAGACGTCCTGTCGATTCTAATGTTTCATGTCTTTCTAAACGGCTGATTTCCTAACAATGCACTTTCAATCCTCCATCAACTTCTCGATCAGTATTTCCGTGCACTGACTGCAGATACATGTATACTGGCCGAAGAGGGAGAGTTATTTCTATCTTTCTAACTAACAAGGTCAGCAGTCTCATCCTCTATGTCCCAGACACTTCCAAACCTGCCAACAGCAAAAGTTCTGCTTATTAGCTTCCACCAGAGGCTAATAACGGGTCAGTTACATACTGGCTCTTCTGAGGACCTCAAATCATTTAATTTTGCTTCTTTAACATGCTCCTGTGTGTCTGTGTTTGTCAATTATTTTTTAGTTAGGGTCACATTTTTCAAATGCAATCTGTTTATAAGTTGGCAAAAGGCTGTATTTGACCTTATGTGACGTGGCAACCTTGTGACATCTTGCAGCTGAGGAATTCTCAACTGGTATAGAGACTCAGGGACTACTAATCACATGTTTTAAAAGTTCTCCTGTCATCCTGCAGAAGATACAAAGTTAAGGCCAATACAATCCCCCCCCCCATAAAATTAGTTAAAAAAATCTTCACTGCTATAAATAGTTGGATGTCTGAATGCCAGTTTGGTTCCTAATATGATATATTTACCATTTAAATGTTCATGGTGCATATTATATATAATATGGTTATGCCTCTTGAGATGGTGTTTATATATTATATATAATATTCACCATGTGTGAAATGTATGACACAAGATGAGCATAACTTCATTCTGTATAAAAGATTAAAGAGTCTCAATTCGTGAAGAAAGCAGCAGAAATAATTTCCATTTCCTATTTTTCTGGTGGCATTTATTACTTGCAAATCCATACACACCACGAAAAGCCTGGTGTCCTTCCCGCTAAGCTGCACACCTCGGCCTCCAAAGTGCTCCAAGTCAAGGAAACATTTTAAATTTGTAAGATGCAGAGGGCATGTACTACTGAAAATTTTTTCCACTTAAACCTAATGTGCTAAACCCAAAACATTTCTGCCAAACTACCAGGGACTTTGGGATCTAGACGGCTCCTGGGATGACAGACAAGCCTGTTTATAATTAGTTTTTCATTGAATGGAATTGGCACAGTAGACACATCATTTAATAACCTTCTTCTTGCTTAACATGCAGGGGTTCTCCTATAATCCTAGGATGAAATGGTTGCATGTAAATTAACTTTTGTATATTCATGCTCTCTTGTGACCTGCTCCATTGATTTGACCTGGAATATGCCTCCAGCTAAGAGCAACTGGCCATTTACTATATTGTAAAATTTTCAATTCACAAGGGCTGAAACTCAGCCAACTCTATGTCTTCTCCACTAATTAATTTTTCTAAGATCAAGAAAGTCGGTCTTTTTCCCCCTTAAGAAATCAAATTAGAATTTTTCCAAACAAAGTAGTCTTTAAAAATGGAACTACCAACTGGTGGTATATATGGGGAGGTGAAGGGATGGAAGGAAAGGAAAACAATCCTTAGAGACTAGAGGGCAGAATGACTGTGGGATCTGGCTCTGGTCAAAACACCGGGGCTAATAGAATGTCCTGGAAACCACATTTCAATAAAAGTTCACTGAATTTCATCTTTTCCCCAGATGAACCAATGCAACTTCTCTTCCTTCACCAAACAGCTGTACTATCAAGGAAACTGTAATCATTCTGGGAACTTTTAAAACAAAAAGAAAATAATAACTTTGAAACAGAACATTATTAGCTTTCATTTAAATACAGGACATACTTTATAAAGTTTCCAAAAACCTAAGTCAAGCTGGGTCTTAACACTGCATTTATTTATACCCTGTCTTGTTTCAAAGTCAGTTTTCAATTATATGTAAAATGTATCAAGACAAAATAAATACCAAATTTTTTTGAAATGAGGACAATACAACTAAATGGAGCCAACATTTTGAGTATATGATCTGAGGTCCTTGCCGGAGGGGCTCTAAGCATACTAGCTGAGAAAAACAGAAACTTTACAACACATATAAATTCGGCAAGCTAAAAACAAACCAGCTGCTTAGCCCCACGGTTCCTGGTAGAGAGAACAGAGAAAACCACAATGAAAAGAACCAGGCCCCTCAAGGCATTCTGAGAGTAACTCAGGGGGACATGTCCTAGGGCCATCTGAGCATGGCAAAGGCCAAGAGTGAAATGAGTAATTGGCCTCCCTCTTCACATTCTCGGCATGGTGCTGCCTCTGCAAAGCAGACACTGCTAGCCTCATTTTGTAGGTGGAACTACTGTGGCTTAAAGAGGCTGAATGACCTTTTGTGGAATTAGTACAGCCAAGTGGCTGAAGCGGGCTTCAAATCCAGGTCCATGCCCCATCATCAGGCCATAGTTTTTCTGAGAGCACCATACACAAGCCAAAATCTGTAAATTAATTTCCACAGGTGGAGATCTGATTTAGGGATTGTTTCTATCCCCATGCAACTCGGCACTGGAAGAAACAGCTGATAGTCAAAGTCATGGTATTGCCTGGATGAGAGAGGTCTGTCTCACAATTGCTGGTCCCCTGGCCTGCAACTTTAGACTACTGTGTTTCTGCTACTGAAGGTTACACTTGCTTGTTTTTCCCCTTTTAATTTGCTCTCCACAGGTGTCTTCATATCCATCTCACCTGGCTGCCCTATTCTCTCAACTCTCCCCACCCCTGACTTGGCTGTTTTATAGCCATTAGTGTTTAGGGTTAACCAGCATAATCTGAGGAGCCTTCCCTGGCAGCAGCTAGAGTAATTACACTTACATGACCAGACAGCCAGACTGAAGGTGAATGGTAAATCTAGAGATTTGGACTCAACTTATATGACTCAAGGTAAACCATTTAGCTTTGGGGATCCCAGTTTTCTCATATATGTTTCTCTAAATGTGTCTTTGGCAGGGATAATCAAGGTCAAGAAACTCAAAAGAAATAAAGGTTAAGGCTTCAGGAACTCAGACTGAACGTTAAAGAAAAGTATTTTATAGAGCTTTTCTAATAGCATCAGGCCACAGTCACCAGTCAACATTATGCATTTCAATTTTTTTTGAAAGATTAACAGAGATAATAGGTGATTGATAGAGATCCATCCCACCCTGCAAATGTCAAGATGAACTGCCGGTGTTAGGAGTTGGTATGTGCCAGATTAATGTATGAAATATCTAAGAGACAAATAGAGATGGAAGAATCCATACTCACTCCAAGGGCAGCTGTGTAGGGGGCATCTGATGGGAAAGTGAACGAGGGACCAGTTGTCACTGGGCTGCTTGGGGGTGGGGTCACGATTAACCCGGTGGTACTTATGTGAACCTGCCAAGAAAAACAGAAGTTAACAAAAAGAAGCCTACACTTAATGTCACAGATGATACCACCTAAATCTTGGGATGGCAGGTCACAATTAAAAAATATGTAGCTTCTATTATTTTGGAAGGCTAAATCCCTTTTGGTTTACTCAAGCCAAATTTACAGATGACTTAATTGCCTTAAACACTCGGGAGTCATGTCATAAATCCTAGACACTACCAACTTTTATATATAGAATTCAAATGCTGCTGGTTTTCACCATAACACGTCGCCCCATTTGGGATCCTACCTTGAACCAAACTGACCTTTCAGACAATTAAACTGCCGCTCTACTAGCCAACAAACCCTCTCCCTCCAGGCCCTGTTGAGGTGGTCTGTGGCTGAATGCTAACCTGAGTACTCATCAGTGTGTTAAATCTATGTGAACTGTTTAAGGTATTTTGCTATTTTTAGGATCATCTTTCATGACTTCTACCAATTAAAACACTGCTGCCTAGACATGCTAATAGCAGGTAATTATTTATAAAGTCTTTAAAGGAACAATGTCAAGCAAAATTAGCTGTTTTCAAAGATGTGTTTTCCAGTCAAGATTATTTTACTAGGAAAAAAGTGAGTTATTCATGTCGTTTCACAGCCTGTGTTTGGTGACAGGATCACTTTCACTCAGGTCCAGCTGCAAGATGTGGGAGTGTTCGTGCTACAGAAGTAGTGGTATTGGTTCCCACTATTACTGGAATGTGGTTGGCTGGTACCTTGTTTCCCCAAGGACATAATGCCACACAAAAACGATGGATATTGTGTAATAAAAACTTTATCCCAAACATAGTTTCCTCAATTCCCATAAGTTAAGAGAAAGATTATCGGAATAAAGAAAAGCTCTGAGATTAGTTCCCAGGGGGCTTGAAAAGGCTTTCAGTTTCCTACTGGATTAGTCCCTGCCAAGGCCGGGGATAAACAGCATCACAATTTATTTTCACAAATACATCTGCTATACATGGAATCCACATTCTTTTAAATGCCAACTGTACCTGCCAGCCCTAGACTGGCTGAATTGATAGCCTGAACCTACCCAGATCCAAGAGTGCCACTAACAAGAGTTTCTCCCCAAGCCTTCATTCTCTGTCTCTTCAACGAACCAGTCTATTTCCAATCAATTTCTAATAAGCAGCACACTGGTTTTTCATGTTAGGCTAAAACCCAAAGGCTTTTAGCTACTTTACCAATAAACTTGTATATAAATACACTCCACAGATATCTGTAAGTCAGCACCACATAAAAGAGGTAGTCTTTCTCAGATGGTACAATGAAGCCACTGCAAAGTACGCAACTACAGCCAAGGAACCTTTGGGAAAGCCAAACACCTACAATCCAATACATGCCCTTGAGTCTGATCCTAAAATACATACCTCACTATTGACTGCCGCTTATTTTCAAGCCCCAGGCGGGGAGTCAGGGTAGTTAACTGCTAATGAGAACATGGCCAAAGACAAGTGGCCAGCAGGGTCCCTAAGGGTGCTGCCAGCACAGACGTGGGAGGAGGCACCCAACAGGGAGAGGCCTGCAGGCACCAACACCCAGGCCCATCTCTAGCACTGGAAAAAAGGAAGCTACTAGAATTCATCAGAGACTGACTACACACAGAACAGGAAGTAGAAGTCCACTGCCTACAGAAAGCATATCGGGGCAGATACTCTGAACAGGCACAACCTGACTTTCTGAGCTCATCATTTTCTCCTATCTCATTGCACAGCAACTTGGCCTCCTCTACAGGGCTGTGGGGCAGAGTGGGGGTGAGGAAGGTAGAGATTTGGGGAAAGCAAATGGGAGTGAGTGATGGATCTTCAAAACAAAAAATGCCATAAAAACACTTTCTATTATGAATCACACCTTTCGTTGGCAGAGGCCAAATAATATGGGTGTGGTCAGAGGTGCGGCCAACGTCATGTGCTTTTCAAGATATCAGTCGGGCCATCTGTGCACGTTGGCTCTGGAGGAGCACCTGCTCACCAAGGCTGTAATACTCTTCCAATACTTGGGTTGAAAGCCTTCGCTCAACAGTCACCAAGTACAGTCGCAAGCGCGTCCTTTGCTCCATCCTGCTATCCATGTTCCCATGCTGGTGCCTAGAACTTGGACACGGTGAAATCTCCAAGGGCCAGTTAGCAAACTGACGTGCCATGTGGTGCAAGGGGGAAGCAGAGGGTGCTACCCACCAGCGCAGCACTGCCTGTCTGCAGATTTTACCCAAATAAGAGCATCAACCAAGCCTAGTTAAGGAAAGAGAGAAATCAGACCAACAGCAAGAGAGGCCTTCGGCAACATGCTTAGTCAAACGTGATGGGCTCTTGACGGGCGGGAGAGGAGGAGAGCCCTATTTTAAACAGCCTCAGCACTTCTCACCTCCTCCTCCACCATGGTTAGGAGCGTGTTTGCCTCTCCCATATGCCACAGGCACTCACTGCTGTATTGTGGACTGTGGTTCCCTCCAATGTACACAGTCCCTCAACAAGTAGTGTTTTCTGTAAACCTAAGCTGGAGAAAGCAGGCAGCACTTCAAACAGCTCCCATCCTCTTTTAGAAATAACTTCTCCCTGAGGCAACACGTTCCCCGCTGAACACAGAAGAAACTGGAATATGGGAGGAGGGGAGGGCTGGGTGAAGGGAAGACTGTTTTAAAGGACACACAAAGAGCCTTGTTTCCTAAGCCACTCACCCTACAACAAAAATAGCTCTACTTTTATAGCCTTCATTCCCAGCCCTGTTGTGGCGGCGTCAGACAAGCTGACACCTGACTGCCGGGTTCCCGACATAAGATAGATGCAAACACCCAGTGATCCTCCTTCCTCTAATTTTCTCTCTGCCAAAAGATAACTAACTACCCATTCTTCTAATGCCATTCCCACTCTGAGTTGCCACAATTCTCAGCCGAAGCTTAACTTTTCATTTCAAGGAAGCATCATTATGGAAATACTACTAGATTGCAAAATAAAAAATACAGTGAAGAGTCCTCTGGACGCCATCAGAACCTTATTCAAAAGTCTTCATTTTTGAGCCCTCCCAGAGTAACCCCACTTGGCATTTGTCACCCCAATCTATAATCCACGTCTAATTAGTTGCATGTCCAACAACATGGTTGTGCTCTCCACTCATTTTCCCAGTCACGTTTTCATTCAACAAATACTAGAGTGCTTATTAGCCTGCCATCTGAGATGTCTCAGCAAACAAAACAAAGACCCTGCCTCCTCATCAGACTCATGATCTAATGGTTGGTGTGTGTGTGTCTCCTGTTTCCCTTATAAGGTCGAAAATTGCAAGGTTCTGCCACCTACAAATGCAAAGGAGCCTCAATCCCATTCAGAAGATGAATGCACTTTCACTCACAACATGCAGTATGAACCTAAAAGAGCAGGGCCAAGTAAATGAGGTTACAAGAAAATTTTCAATAAAACTGGGAGAAAAATACCAAAAACTCTGTTGTACATTCTTATTCTATGGTCAAAACAGCCACCCAAACTGTAAAATTCTTCAGGACCAGGACCACAAGTTTGTTTCTTTTCCTTTTTTAAAGAGAAATAAATATATTTTTATATTAAAAAAAACATAGCTATATTGTAGAGTAGACTGTAAAGTCGACATGGATCTGAAACATGCAGATTCTGGGAAGAAATTTCTTCTTCTTCTTCTTTGTTAGAGATTTATTTACTTATGCATACAAGAACTGGGATACAGGCCAGAGGTTTGAAGGTGTGAGGACTCACCAGAAACAGCGGGGAGCAGAACAAACAGATCTACTGAAATTTACTGCTAAGGGAGCAGCGGGCAGGTCAGGAGAAGTCTGTTGTACCATGTGGGTCACTTCCCTGGCAGGGATTGAACTCATGCTGCAGTAGCTAGGGACAGTTTCATAGAGCTCTGCTTTAATCCACTGTGCCACCAGGGAGGTTCTAGGGGAGGAATTTCTTCCTCATGGAGCAGACTGCTTTGGATTAGGCTCTGTGATCATTAGGTTGTTACCTAATTGGCTAATTCCACAGAACTGTGACTCAGGCAGAGCCACAGGGAGGCTCATCTTGCAGTCAGAATTAAGGTCTAATGTAGGCAAGTCCTGTACCTTACTCATTGTAGTATATACACAGTGCCTTAAAGGGTCTAATATTAAGGCACTTAATAAATGTTTGCCAAATGAAGCATGAATGTTCCCAATCATCTCATATATATTTTCATTAGCATACGATTAATAAATAGCTAATTTTTAAGATAATCCAAAGTGATAATGCACTTTGACTTAAAGTTTAAATTTAAAAAGTTCTAATGTTGGGGCCTCCCTGGTGGCACAGGGGTTAAAGTCTCAGCACCATCAAGTTATCGCCAGCCACTGCAACAAGAGTCCAATCCCTGCCCTGGAGGTGACCCACATAGTGCAACAGATTTCTCCTGACCTGCCTGCTGCGCCTCAGCAGTGTATTTCAGTACATCCACCTGTTTTGCTCCCCACTCTGTCTCTGGTGAATCCTCTCACCCTTGAGCCACTGGCCTGGACCCCAGCTCCAGTATGCATAGTCAATAAGTCTCTTTTTAAAAGAAGTTCTAACTACAATTAAATGTTTCTCCCAGCCTTGTCCCCCACATTCAGATAGGAAGCCTAAACGTCAGGCAGAGGCAGGCAAGCGCAAGCTCAGTGAGTTCTGAGCATAGCACCTTGAGGTTGACAAGCTCTCCCACAGTACCTTTGTGAGAATGTTCTGGAATACTGAGCGACTGCTTGGGGAAACTGGTAAGTCAATCTAAATCACCTTATAATTTCTCATCTTTCCTTTGAGAATGACTAAGTGACTTTGGGGTCTTATTTGCCACTTAGTTTCCTACCCCCTTTTCCACTTATAAAATGAAGACAGACTTGGCTGCCCAGAAAAGCTACTGTCTGCTGAGGACTTGATTAGACAATGCCGTTCAGCTAGAACAAATATGCTTCCTGGTGAAGATCCCTGTGAGTGGCCCAGCTCTGTCCACACTCTGGGAAGGTTTACCTGAGAAGGGGCACTGCAGGAGAGGCCAGACAGCTCGCTGATGCGAGCGGCAGCTGTGGGATTGCTGGAGCTGATGAGCACAGGAGGGCTGATCTCCATGGAGTGGCGGTGCTGGGAGGCCTGGGAGGACTTGCTGGCCATGGTGAGGGACGTGAAGGAGTGTCGCTTTTTGGTGTTCTTCTTGGTGTCCGAGTGCTTTGGGGCAGTGCTGCTCTGGGCTGCTGCTGAGGTGCATTCTCCAGCATCGACTCCTGGCACAGGAGGTTTATCCCACTCGATCAGTTGCTTGGCAGCCGAGTTAAACTGCAAGCCAACAGACACAAGAGGGTTAGCAGTACTCAAGGGCGCCCTAAGATTTAGTTTTAGTACACTCACATCTAAAGGTTAACATCATCACTTCAGATTTGGAAAAACAGGCAAGGAAATATCTATACTCCAGATGTCTTTCCCCTGACACTGGGAAATCACTGTATCTGTCATAGATAGGGGTTAAATCAAGAATAAACAATGCCAAGGTAAGACTGACAAAGTTAAGAAAGTTTTTTCCCAAGAGTTTTCAGAATGTCAATTTTTAAAATCTGCCAGTAACAAATGGAGGTTAATTTCAGTTCACTGATGAAAGTTAGAGAAGAACAGGTACATCTCGATGAATGAATATTCTTGCTCAATGAAAGGCTAGGTAGGGCCCTCCCTGGTGGTACAAGGGGTTAAAACGCAGCACTGTGAAGCTATCAGCAGCCACTACAGCATGAGTTCAATTCCTGGCCAGGGAGCTGACCACAGCACAGCAGACCTCTCCTGATCCTCCCACTGTTCCCCTCAGTAGTGTATTTCAGTCCATCTGGTTGTTCTGCTCCCCACTCTGTCTCTGATGAATCCTTTCACTTCCTACATCTTTGGCCTATATACCCCAGGTCTCCTATGCATAAATAAATCTTTAAAAAAAAAAAAAGTCTGGGTATTTGTTCAAAGCACAACTGAATAGTGAAGAGGTAACTTTGGGGTCTGGCAAAAATGATCAAGAAAGATGAATGAAACTATTAAGTGTTAACTTATGAACTATCTTACCAATTAACCTCCTGCCTCTATGTATATTAAGGGACCCTCACAAAACACGTGTAGAAACATAATTTTTGACATGACATTGGATCAGTTATTTTCCTATGTGCTTACATCCTAAATCATAATAGGGTAAAATATTTGAACTTGAATTTATGAATATATCTATATCTTGAAAAGTTGTCTGAGCATAAGAAGTGAGGGTACAGGGCCACCCAGGGTCGAAAGCTGTTCACTGAGTAACAGCACCAGCAAAAAAGGAAGAATACTTTTTTTTGTTTTCCTTAAGCTGCAAAAAATATATAGTTCAAAAGCATTTCAGTGATACGAAGCTGCATATAATGTACCTAGATACTGTAAACACTGAAAAACAGTGAGCTTATAGTTTAACCTCACATTAAAAAAAAAAAAAACAACTGCGATAGAAGTCAATTTTTAAACAGTTTTTAGGTGCTTTTAGTACTTTAAGATAATTAAAGGATAACAAAAATTTTCCCATCTCAGCACTGCATGCTCAGCATTTCACAAACATTTTCAGATAAAAGAACCACCACCCAAAGCTATTTCCCACCCACCTAAACAGCTGGGATCCTGTCTTCTTTATATGAGAATGTCCTATGGAAGAACAGAATTACTGCAGCTCAATTCTTAACAAGTGAACTTGCACAGTGGCTGCACACAAAGCTGTATTAATTGCAGCTCAGTAGCTGGTGCTTGTATAAATGACTGCAAATTGATTAACAATTTGTTCCTGGGATCTCCAGGGACTCCAATTCATCTGATCTGTCTGATCTATAATTTGTAGGGCACATCTTTGTCGACCACGAGCATACCTTTCCTTCCAAGTTCAAGGGTATTTTTTCTGCATGATAAACTTGCAGAAATAACAGGCAGCAATGCCACTGAATATTGTGCCAGAGACAGGAGGAAAAGGATCATCAAGACTATGTGTAAAAGGTGTTTAGGGATAAAGAAATGACGTGCCATTAATGGGTGGTCTTACTTATACACTAAAATGGTATTATACCAGGACATCCAGAATGTACAAATATACCTAGTCTACCTGTCCTACCTCCTGGGTTGTTCCCTAGAGAATCAAGGGTCCAAAGTAAGAGAGGTAATGTTTTATTACTAAAACATTAGAGTTCAATTTAGAGTTCCAATAAAGTAAATGAACTCCACAGCCTGAATGTATGGAATATGAAATCAAAGTTGACAGAAGAGCTACAATGTTGCCTTCAACATAAACTTATCACCCCACTAAGATCAAAGACCAGCTTGCCCAGCAAGGCCAGAGAAAAAGAAGTCCTTATTCCAGTGTAAGTTCATTTAGACCCCAAGGTAAAAATCCTCAAAAGCATGGCCTAACCAGCATGCTGTAATCCAAATGATTAATTCTGCTTTTCTTGCAAATGAACTAGAAATAGGGATAGAGTTGAGAAAGTATCCTCCCGGTTTAGGTCAAAATGTGAATAAACAAAACTATTACAACTGCAGGATATCGTGGTTAAATTGATCCTGGGGTCAAACCTCAGGTTGTTACCCAAGTCTGTTCTAAAACAGCCCAAACATTACCATAGTCTAGTCACCACCCAAGCATCAGTCAATACTGTGTTACCATTTCAGGTTTCCATGTACTCTGCTCTGGTATTAATATCTTAATTAAATTACTGGTGTCTTCCTGTCTTTTCTGTATCACATACTGTCTGTTACAGTAAATATTCATTGACACCTGTTCTGTGGAAGGTAAAATGATAAATGCTGGAGTTCTACAGATGCCAAGAAATGGTCACTGCCATTAAGGACCGTATACACCGACACACAGAATAAGGACTTTCTGTAAGGTCTTATGTTTGGCTTCTTTCATCCAACAATGTTACTTGATGTTTTTAATATTGTTTCATGACTCAGTGGTTCTTTTCATTTAACTGATTTGTAATATTCCACTGTGTGGGTATACCACAGTTTATTTAACAATTCTAATTCTGACTTACATTTAAATTTCCCTCCCTTATGTATGCTCACTTCCCCTACCCTCCTTGTTCCCTTCCCCTTCTTTCCTATAGGTTTTGACTATTAAGAACAACGCTACCATCCATTATTGTGTCTTTTCGTACAGACGCATGAAACTGGAGAGAAGATACATATCTAGGAGTAGAATTGCTGTTCCGTGGGGTTGAAAAACTAGTCTACATGTAGAAGAACATGCATACAGGGAGACAGATTGTGGTGAGGGACAGCTGCAAAATATAAACTTAAGACCAGTAGCCTTAGTTTGACACAACCATTTACTCAATTTTGACCCTCAGAAAAACCACCTTATTGATACCTCTTCTGAATATAGCTTCCTCATCTATAAAATTAGGAAGCTGGAAGCCTATTTTTTGTCTCTTTTAGCTCTTTGTGCACTTCATTTTTACACATGGACAACAGCATTTGTTAGCATGATACTGTCATCTCTTAAAATTACTTCTGACTTTTCTGACGTAGCAGAGGCTTAGTATTCAGAAATACATTCCAAGGAAAATCATACAGTTAAGGCTATTTTGGTAGGGTCATTAGGTAAATCAGACATAAACTTAAAGAGGCTTTTGCTGTAAATATAAGTTAACCTTCAGTAACAACAGGAAAGAAAGGACCTGACAGCTTTGAATGGAATTTTGATAAAGTTCATTTATGAATGTTTGTTTGAGCTCAGTGGTGTAGGCTTTTCGTGACATTTATCTAACCATGACCTTTAAGTTTAGGAGTGCACTCATCACCTGCAAAATAAATTTGTATCCTAAAATACCTCCTTCCAAGCACTTGCTTAGGAATATTTGACACAAACTAGTTTGGATACAAGGTAGAATTTAGTACACTAGAGTTGAAAGCAGGGATTAATGGGACTTGTCTTAAAATTAACATCCTTTCTGGGGAAAACTGCAAATTTTAAAAGAACTATCCAAAGCAGAAATAAACATAATAAAGGATATACTTACAAAATCATAACAATAACTAGGCAACTTAAGTGATTTTGGTGGCAAACAATATACTGCAGACAGATGTTGGTTTATAAGGTTACACAATTGAAACCTATATAATGTTATAAACCAAAGCCACTCCAATCAAAAAAAAAAAAAAACAAACAATTTTTGTGTGTGTGATCCTCATCTTGCTAAAGAGATGGCCTTTTAAAAAGATGGGACACAACATTTTCTTTTTAAGCAAAATAAGGGTGAATGAGAACTAAGTGGAGTAATTACTATCTTCTATGAAGTCTAACAGATAAATCAATCTTTACCTTTCAAGCACTGAAAAAATACAAATAGGTTTGAGAGGAGAGGAGCCATGTATTATTAATGTAATACATTTTCACTACTACAAAAAGGATATGTACAGAACATTATAAAGAATGTAAGGCCTCAGCCAATTTACCACAACCCATTTCCAGGTGTGTCGATGTTCAACAGTTTAGAACATAGTCTTCCCAATATTTTCTATGCAGACACCTTAAAAATGCACCTATTTTATTAATTTCTAACATAAGTGAAGCCAAGGAGTACATGCTCTATGCATTCCTTAACGAACCTGGGGTACGGGACACCAACACATGTGTAGGCAAAGACCTTAGTAAGTAGACTCACAGCTCAAACCCAAGTTTTTCAGGGGTAAACTGTATTCTCTCCTCTACAGCTAGCTCATGAACACCCTTCTGTGCCATATAGCCAGGCTGCCAGAACAATATTCCACAGAACAGTGATGTCATCACTCAGCATCTCAGCACAGTGTGAACTCCTAAGAGTAAGACGGCTAGATGAAGGTGTATGCTTGAAACACTTTTTTAAAGGATAGCATCAAATTACACTCTAAAAGGTGGTCAATTTACATTTTTGAAGTAGAAATATATTGGACATTTAATGCTGTCGAAATTTAAGGTGTGTCCAACCGTGTATCAAAAAGTCCATTA